GACTAAACCAGAACTGAACCAGGACTAAACCAGAACTGAACCAGAACTGAACCAGGACTAAACCAGGACTAAACCAGAACTGAACCAGGACTAAACCAGGAATAAACCAAGACTAAACCAGGACTAAACCAGAACTGAACCAGGACTAAACCAGAACTGAACCAGGACTAAACCAGGACTAAACCAGAACTGAACCAGGACTAAACCAGGACTGAACCAGGACTAAACCAGGACCAAACCAGGACTAATCCTGGACTAGAACTTGGAATCTAGGACCGCCCCTGAGAGAACCCCGAGTGCGATCGGGCGTCAGCTGCGTTTATCTCGGTGGAGCGCGGACTTCTGCGTCGGTCCTTTTCGCTCAGGATCACGGTTTACGCGGGCGAACCTCCGGCGTTTCACCGCTGCTGATATCGCGGTGATTTTAGCAAATTTGTATGAAGAAAAACGAAAAACCCACCATTTCAATCCAGGTTAAAAAAGCACTGTGACGCACGGTACTGACATATGTACCGAGTAAAATAATACGCGCGCGGAGCAGCACGTCCTGTGCGTGTAGATTTCAGAAAATAGGATCCATCCTATTTTTTGATGCTCTACACGAGCGTAGGCGCGTATCCCCGTCAAAATACACAGAGAGCATGTATTTATTGTTGTATTTGTGCATTTACCATCAGCACATTGTGCTCCCTGGGCAGTTGTGTATCATGTGAAAGAGCCCAGATCCACATACACTGTTAATTAGTGCTTTGAAATTTACTTTTGAAATCCTTGCGTTTGCCGTGGTCAGCCTGTACAGAAGGTAAATACAAGCAGCTAAACGCGCCCAGTCAAGTTTGATTGACTTTCCCATTGAGAGACACAAGAGCCCGTACGTTCCGCTAAAGCTGCCGGTGGAGTCGCCTTCATGTTGACGCGGCTGTGGTTTCGCGAGGTTAAGCGCGAGCAGATCGTCACTCGTCAGGTGAAAACAAATTCTGATGTTTAATTGAACCCAACAGTGACGTACGTCGTTCATCTCACATCATTTAAACAAATTCACGTTCAAGTTCTTGATTTACAAAAGTGTTGTGTTCAGTTCAAAGTTCACTGAAAAATGAACATGTTTCTTTTGAACTCGTTCATGCACAACACTGCATAAGACCTATTGTAATTGTTCAGCAATGTGAAGCAGTGCCGCGCAGGCAAACAGAACGTGAAGTGCTCTCCCCTTTCCAAACAGTGGCACTCATTTCATCGATTGGTGCCCGCTGACATGGCACGATGGCATCGCCCATGGACTCGATCGCAGTCTAATTGTAATTGTTCATCCCAAAAACAGTCCCCTTATCTGCCCAATCCCCTTATATCAAACACTCAGTTCTACACAATAGTGACACTCATGGCATCCAGTAGTACAGACTGGCATTGCCCATAATTGTAATGGTTAACTCTCGTAAACTCCAAAAATGTGCATTGGGTATGTGAGTAATCAAAGAGGTCAACAATGGAGCCCACGGGTGCGTTCCTGGACGTGAGCACTTTCCAGTGACATGTATATGTGCCACCATAGGTGTGTGCTGTCTTGCCTAAAAGATACAATGACACAGTAAGACAGTAAATGACGCTTCCATCTGATGATTAAAAAAAAAAAAAAAACATTTTTAAAAATGTCAGAGTAACAGCTCTGTGCTCTCCCTTCTTCATGATTAAATTAGTGGATCAAAGGAGCGTCTCAGATCATGTGAAACCTGGACCTGGTTCAGTTCTGGTTCAGACCCTGTTTAGACCTGGTTCAGTCCTGGTTCAGACCTTGTTTAGACCTGTTTTAGTCCTGGTTGACTTCTGTGTGAGTTTGTAGTTTTTTGTGATGAAAACAGAATGGAGAGACTCACCTGGATGTGCAGAGTGGTGGAGTGGGTTTGACTTTGATATGAGTCTCCCTCCTGCTTCAGCCTCTTCAGGAGCAGAGTCGTGTCGTGTCCTGAAACATGATTAAACATTTCTGTAAATCATCTGCTCAAAGGCTCAGATCAGATCATGTAACACTGAAAAACATAGAGCAAAGTCCATTTATTCAGGCTAGATTAACTTAGATTACCTCAGTCATCATGGAAAAAAAAAAAAAGTTGTGAACTTAATCAATTTAGTTTAGAAAGTTTTCTGGGCGACTCAGTTAAAGATAGATGAATACTTTATTGATCCCAAAGGAAATACAATTTTTGGTTGCAATAATGAAATGTTATTATTATTAAGCCCAAGCGCCAGAAGCTGGCAAAGGGCCTTTTAAGTATCACAAAGTGATGCTTCTATGTTAAAAATATTATTATTATTAATAGGCCCGAGCGCTATGGGTGGCGTAGGGCCTATTGTGATTGTTCAGCAGTGCAAAGCATTAATTGTAATTGTTCACCCCAAAACATAGGGCGTACTTGACATCGTGCAACAAAGTTGTTGATCATTGTTGATCATTGTGTTTTAGGTTTTACAAAATGTAAAATGAAAGTTAGGACTTGGATATTTTTCGTGTCGACAGGAACTGGAGTGTACAGAATTATTGGTACCCTTCTGGTAAGGAAATAACTTGAAACTGAGAAAAGCAATAATAAATACACATTTCCTGACAAATAACCAATGAAAATCAGACACTGTTTTTGAATTGTTGTTCAACACAGTTATTTAAAAAAACAAACTAATGAAACTGGCCTGGACAAAAATGATGGTTCCCCTAGAAAAGACTGTAAGTAATTGGACAATGTGGACATGTTAAACTTCGGTGTGTCTCTAATCTGCATCACAGGTTCTTCAGACTTGTCCTTAGTCAGTCTGTCTGTTTAAAGTGGGACATGTGTCATTGTGCTGTTTGGAGACATGATGGACACAACACTGAACATGGACCAGAGAAAGAGAAGAAGAGTCCTTATTATGCTGTTTTCTGATCTATATTATAATGTTTCTTCATCACAAACAGACCTGGAGTTGTGTTTTGTTTCATTCACATGTTTAACACACAAATCCTGCAGATTTAGACTGTTCTCCTCTGTGACGGAGCACCCATAGTTGCCCCATCATCCCCCGACCAGAGCGTCTTTCTCCTTCTTCTCCGTCTCCTTATATTAGAGTGTGGAGAGCTCTTCCCCTGCCAGGCTCCAGGGGCGGGTCTAGAGGAGGAGCCGCAGGGGTCCTGGCCCCACCTCTAATCTGATTGGCCCCTGAAGTGCCCCTGTTACCATACCAGACCAACTTTAGTTATAAAGCACTTTAAAAAACTTTACAGCTGGTCAAAGTGCTGCACACAAACACAGAATAAACAAGGACAACACAACACAAACACAACACACAATACAACTGCTAAAAACATAGAAAACAACAAGATACTCAACAACAACAAATGTACATGTCACTTGTTAAAATACAGTGGAAAAAAAGATGTTTTTAGGAGTGATTTAAAAACAGGTACAGACTCGGCCTGTTGAATCTCTAATGGAGACTGGTTCCAGAACCGAGGAGCAGCAACAGAAAACACACAGGCCCCACAAAGCTCAAGTTTAGCTGGAGCTGGTCTGCTGACCTGAGAGTGCGAGACGAGGCATAAGGGAGGATCAGGTCTGTGAGGTAGGAGGACGCTGGGCCGTGCAAACACTTAAAAGTAAATCAAAGAATTCTAAAATTGACTCTAAAGCTACGTTCAACTGCAGCCTGAAGTGACTCAAATCCGATTTTTTGTGATTTTATGTGACCTGTATCTGATCTTTTAATGACAGTCTGAACGACACAGATCCGATTTTTTCAAATGTGACCCAGGACACTTGGATATGTGCTCCTGAAACTGATACATATCTGATCTTTTGACATGTGACTTCAGTCTGAACAGTCAAAGTGCATTCATCCACCTACACGTTATCAACAAGTGACAGATGTACACAAACCTTCTTCTCCTCATATGAAAATTGTTAATGAAGTGAAGCACATCACCACTCACCACTCTTGGCTCCATCTCCACATCCACACGTTCCTTTCAACAAAGTGTCCCACAAAACACCACGACCAAAAACCTCGTCCTTCTCCTTCTCAATCTCCTTCTTAAAACAAGTAAGTTGTTCATGTTCTGGCTCCGGTACGAGAGGAACTTTAAAATCTCCAGGTGCTCAATGCTGCGTCCATGTTTGGACAACTTCTGTAAACACAGAGACGCTCGCTGTGGTTGACGCCATCGTGTCTCCAGTGCACATGTGGGACACTTTCGGACCGTTTACTGTTCACACTGGAGTCACATACAAGTCACATTTAATTGGAAATGTGAACGACCTCGCAAAAACATTGGATTTCACAAAAAAATCTGAATTGAGCCCTGCTGTCTGAACGTAGACGAAAAGACACTGGGAACAAATGGAGAGAGGCTAAAATAGGTGAGATGCTCTCGTGTTTATAGGTTCTAGTTAAAAGTCGAGCCGCTGAGTTTTGGACCCGACTTTTAACTGTTCTGTCAATCAACTGACGAGAAGAACCGAAGAATTCAATGATCAGTGATGTAATTCCACCCCCAAACTCTTGGCGGCAGTCGACCTATTGTCAATACAACTTAATGGGAGAAGAAACAGACTTGTAGAGGGTGTTTTTTTTTACTGTCTCTGCTTGTATTTGCACTGTACTGAATGAATCATTTGTGTGTTGGTTGTTCCCTGTACTTGGCCCCTGAATGTAACATGTGGCCCCTTAATGGCCCCTGTTTCAGAAAAATCCTAGAACCGCCACTTCTCTGGTAGATCATTTCCCTGCAGGACTTCTTATGTGTCCTGTGGTCCTGTAACCCCTCAAACTGTTTCCCACTGGTGCTTTTCAGGGTGCACACTCACCACACACACCACATGCTCCTTACCTTCTGCTGTCTCCACGCTGCTCTCTGGTTCAGGGGCCAAACCGGAGCACTTCCTGATCGTGCCATAAATACTTCTTGGCATTTGTGTGTTTATTCTGTTTTCTTAAGTTCATCATTAATAAATGATAGACACATGGGAGGTTATTACAGTATTTTTATTATGGTGGTTTACAGTTTGCTTTATGTTCATGAGTACAGTGTTAAACCTGAAAAACCCAGAGTGAAGTGAACTGATTAGATCAGGGGGAGGGGCTAAGGGGTAAGGGGGAGCTGGTCTGTTGTCTGTCCTTGACCTTTTTTTTCTGGACTGCTTCTTCTCACTTCTGTCTGAACCTGTGACAGAAAACACTCTGTTCCACCCTGTGATGTCATGTGGAATACAGGAAGTGCTCCATTGTGTTTTTAAACTCCAGACACCTTGACTAGAATCATTTGGATACATTCAGCCCTGGAACTGTCAATCTCTACTGAACTAAAGGTAAAAGGAGCTGATAACATGAAAACTACCACTTCATGACATCACAAGGTGAAATAGAGCATTTTGAGCTTTGGGGATGCAGACAGGCTGGACACTCAAACATGTGTGAATGAAACAATCCAAAAAGTCCACATCTGTTTATCAGGAGGTAACATTTTAACATGGTTTAAGGTCACAAGAGTTAATTTAGTGTAACACAGGACTTTTAAATCAAGATATGAACATTAATAACAGACCAATCAGGTGTGTCATCACCATAGAATATTGAAGAATATTGATGTAACACTTATTACAAGAAGTAGATAAGAACAAATGAGACAAAACCACAGGAGATTAGTGAAGTGTGCACCATAACTGTTTATATGAAACATATGACATCATTGATTTGGTATCAGATTATAATCTTACACACTCCTGATCAAAACTTTAAGACCAGTTAAAAATTTGCAGAAATTCATATGTTGCACTGTTGGATCTTAAGAAGGTTCTAAGTAGAGCCAGTAAGGTTGGAAGCCATCAGGACCAGAAAATAAAATTTTCTTCCACCTTTCAGTGTCCCATTTGGTGCTCTCGTACAAACTCCAAACGGCCAATTTTGTGCCGTTGAAGGAGACGAGGTCTTGAAGAAGACGTCTCTCCCTCTCCCTACCAAAGAGTCCGAATGTCAAAAGGCTCGTATCGCTCTCTGACTCCTCTCGTCTCCTCAGCGCAATGATGCTTGAACCAACGTGTCAGTATAGACCATAGGGCATCGACTGTAGAGACAGATTATTTGTCTTTCAACACAGCGGATGCCTGTGCAGCCCGAGTGCAGAAAGCGCCGCTCTGTGTGATTAACACGAAGCCACAAAGCCAGCGCCACCGCCAGAACCAAAACAGTTCATCTCCGTGTGTCAAAATATGTCATGATGCCAAATCTACAGTAGTTAGTGAGAGCGTCGAATGCAGGTGAGTGCACAAACGACGAGAAGAAATGGTTCAAACCCCAGCAGCTGAAATACACTTATACCCGATCAACACAACTATCCCCGCCCCCGAGAGAGCGTGAAATCCACTGAAATCCCACAAGACTCCGACATGACACCAGACAGAACAGCGGCTCTGTCTGCAGGAGACATGTGCAGCACATAACAATAATCCCTGTATAAAAAAGTGGACTAAGCGAGGAGGCAGGCTCTATATTATGAATATGATTTTCTGACAGACAAAATAGTGAACTAGGATCCTGTGTCACGGGTTAATACGAACACTTGACGAGAACATTTGACGACCAAAATGACGAGGCTCAGAGCAGCAGCCACAGAGAGAGAGACACAATATTCCAATGGAAGTCAATGACTAAAATCACTTTTAAGGGCAATTTTGTTACAGAGATTTAATAATCCATTTATGTATCGTTTTGGTTGTGTTTGGTTCAACAATGGTTTATTCAAGTCTATTTTTGTTAACAAGGGCAGACAGCATTAGGCTATTCTTATGTGAACAAGTCTGTATTATTTTAGACCTGTTGTTTCTGGTTCTTGTGCAGTTCTTGTGTTAAATGTTTTTTAGAAAGTAAAGTTTATTCGTCTTTGAGAGGGTGTATTTGCATTTTTAATCCATTGTCATTATATTAGTTGAAAATGGTCTCCAAATGTCAAGATTATCATTTATCACAATCATTTTTTGGTCAATTAATCGTCCAGCTAAATCTGTTATCGTTACAGGCCTACTTAAAACCCTTCTCTCGCAGATGCTGTGTAATGGTTATGGGACTGCAGTTGGCACCATTGACAAGCGTAATTTGGGCTGAGGATTGTCCCGTGTCTTGATGGACCAACTAGATCATCCGTCTCAGGGCTTGTGAAATTTTTTTGGGTCTACCACTTGACTTTTTTTCCTTTAACCCTCAGGATCTTTTAAGAAGTTTAAAATGACTGTCTTACTGCGTCCAACCTCAGCAGCAATGTCGCGCTGCACGAGGCCTTGCTGATGGAGTTAAAGGTTGTATGGAGGATTTTTTTTCAGTTTCAAATTGTCAATGAAAGTTTAAAATACCACTACAGAGACGCAGTAGCCTTGTAATTATCATGACCAAAAAAAAAAAAAGAATGAAAATCTATCAACTGTGGACGTAGTGAAGCCAGATAAACACCAGCCAATAGACAACCAGGCTCCCTCATTTTCTATTGGCTGTTAGGTCGTCAATCAAACTCCCTACATTTCTAGAGTAATTGACTCGCGGCGTGCTGGGATTACGTGGATTATGCAGCGATTCTTAGAGGCTTTTTCAAACAGCAGCTTCCTCGCAATTCGCACAAACTCTGTTGCGACGGCGGACGAGAATCCACGACCAGTTCGCCGCAAAAGAAAGTAAGTTTTTGAGGTCACTGAAAGAAGAAGAGAAGGGGAAAAGGAGCAAAACCAAACTGAGGTGATTCTTGGAGATTCCTTCCAGAGATGGTGCGACTGAAGCAGACGAAGGGTCTAAAGACTGAAGACGCGTCGATCGCAAAATTATTTCTAGACAGGTCACTTCAACAGTAATTCTGAATGCGCACTGGCTGTAAACAAACGTGATTTCTAGAGTATGGAGGCGGGAGGAGATGTTTCTACTGAGGGAGTTGTGGAGGAGGAAGGTGGTGTCACGCATGCACGTTTGAAAAAGGACTGTCGCTGTATTTCTCTTCCCTTAAAAAATCCTCTATACAACCTTTAATCTGACCGCGTTCAAAGAGAGAAATCTTTTTTGTCTTTGCTATCAGGAGGTGGTGACAGTGTGGATACTTGACAGAAAATGACACTGAATCCACATTTTAATGAAGATTTGAGCTTTAAAAGGATGTGGTCTTAAACTTTTGATCACCTTGATGAACAGCCTATTTCAGTTTAATAGTTGTTTGCAGTAAATTGCTTACTCAGTTTTTTCTTCTCCCATTTCTTCTTTTTGCTTTTTGAAGCACTACTTAGAACCTTCATAAGATCCAACAGTGCAAAATGTGAATTCTTGCAGATTTTCAACTGGTCTTAAAATTTTGATCAGGAGTGTATAAAATAAAGTTGGTGCATTATTTAGAAGCTCAGACTTTTTTCGATCTTTATTTCGCCAACTCCAGAACACGGCGGAGGACTGGTCCACTGTTGGTGTGAGGCAGCCCCACAAACACAACCAGCTCCAGATGTTTGTTCTGCCCAATGTGGACCTAAAGAAGAAGAAGATTGAAGGAGGATCAGAGAGTGTCACCGTTATTCAGCCCCAAAGACATGACTCTTGTCATTTGAGAGGACTTTAAATCAGGAGATTAACATGACAAGTTTGTGGAGCCACGTCCAAACAAATAATGACAAGGTTCAACATTTGTGGATCATAATTTGGAATATTTATTCTAATGTCAGTGAATCTCCCATAGAGTCATATAGAGCTGTTAAGAGATGATGTCACTTTCAAGTCCAACCAGAAACTTCACAGCTGATTTCTAGCTTTGGTTTTGTTCCTTATTCATGGAACAAGAGACAATGACCTTTGAACTGTATCAAATATGTAAATGATGTAGTAATAATCTGTCGTAACATGGGATGACCAGTGTGTATATCTCACTAACTGTCAGTCACTGCTTATGCTGGTTAAACCTACTCTAGCTTCATAGCTCAACCTCCCTCATAAACTTTAAGTCACAGTTATAATCCATGGAACTACAACAGGAACTGGATAAGACATTCCTCTCCATCCCAGAGTGACAGACTAGTGGCCACTCCAGGTACTGCAGCTCCCAGGAGATTGGGCTCAGAAAGAATTCTTCCAAAGAACACAATGCATTTTTTTGGAATTCAAACTGCCCATGTTCAGCTGACAGGACATCCACAGCTTTCACTAAGGTCAGGTTTTATAGGGATTCTTCTCTATTTTCACAACATGAATGTTTTCACAGTTTTAAATGGTCAAAGTGCCTAAAAGTTTGCTTTGTAAGATTTAGTCTAGCCCCTCTCTGAGCCCACACTGGCTCCACTCTAGCAGCTCTCACTCTGATTGGTCAGAACTGGTCACACGGTGCATGTTTCTGACATCACATAGGTGGGAGGAGCTAGTCTGTGCAGAGGAAATAATGCAGAAGAAAAAAATATTTGGGGGGATTTTACACCAATGAGCACAGATCACTGAAAACAGCTCAACACTTCAACTCATCTTCCAATTCTTATTAAACTTTCATGTTATAACCATAGATCTGTGCTTATAAACTTGTTGGCTTCAAACAACTGAAATATGTTTTTAACGTGACACGTGCTGTCGCTTAAAAAAGAGAGGAAATTGTAAACATCATTGTTTTCAATCAACTGATGAACCAGGAAGTGACATGACACTGAACAACTCTATAGGAGCTTAAAGTCTAATCATGACTTTGTTTGCTGGGGTAGTACCTGTGGTAACTACACATGAGGGTGATAGTTCTAATCTTTAGGATTCTTATTGTCAAAACATCATCAGAATATTGTCTTTGGGTTAATTAAAAAATAAAACAATTGTAGGAACTGACCTTGACAGTGTAGTTGGTTCCAGCTACAACTTGTGTCCTGTAGGATATGGCTTCAAAAGTCTCATATTTCTCTCCTCTCTTCTTCTCCACATCTCTCTTCACCTGAACAACAGCACAAGATTCACTCATAATACAGAGGGTCATTTTTTACGCCACTTATTTGTCTCCATGGATAAGTTAGTTTGCCTAAAATGTTATACAGTATTGCATTAAACATCTATCTTGTATTTATTAAAGGGCCCAGAGTACACTATTTTCTGATTTATGTTATAATGATGTTGATAACATGAATCAGGAAAAAAAAAAAAACACCAAAAAAGAACCACCTTAACGTGGTGGAGGGGTTTGAGTGCCCAAATGATCCCGGGAAGCAGATAGTGAGTGTCTGTTGGGGAGGTCTAGCAGAGCCCTCTGTCAGTGGCACCTGCAACTCACACCTCCACGAGAGCTTCTCCTATATTCACTGAGGTGGTCGGCAAGTTCCTTGGTGGCAAGGCTCCGGGGATGGACGAGATCCATCCAGAGTATCTTAAGTCTCTGGATGTTGAGGGTCTTGGCTGACACGCCTCTGCAACATCACGTGGCGGTCGGGGACAGTACCTGTGGACTGGCAGACTGGGGTAGTGGGCCCTATCCTTAAGAAGGGTGACCGAAGGGTGTGTTCCAACTACAGGGGAATCACACTCCTCAGCCTCCCCGGTAAGGTCTATTCCAGGGTACTGGAGAGGAGAATCTGACTGACAGTCGAGCTTCAGATTCAGGGGGAGCAGTGTTTTTTTCATCCTGGTCGTGGAACACTGGACCAGCTCTACACTCTCCATCGGGTGATTGAGGGGTCATGGGAGTTTGCCCAACCAGTCCACATGTGCTTTGTGGATCTAGAGAATGCATTTGACCGTGTCCCTCGTGGTGTCCTGTGAGGGGTGCTCCAGAAGTATGGGGTCTGTCCCACTGGAAGGAGGCCCAGGGAAGACCCAGGACATGCTGAAGGGTCTATGTCTAACGCCTCAGCCTCCCCCCAGAGGAGCTGGAGAAAGTGTCCAGGGTGACCAAAGTCTGAGAGTCCCTGCTTAGACTGCTGCCCCCGCGACCCGGCTCCGGATAAGTGGAAGAAAAGGGATGGATGGATGTTATAATGTTTCCTCATCACAAACATCAAAATCAGAATAAGTCTCCTGTGTACTGTCTGCATCGGATTATAAAATGCTTTATTATCAGAGAATTAGGAAGTGTGCTGTTATTCTCCTTTGGTGTCTAAAAGTTGTGAAAATCACTTATAAATTCATCGTGGTGAATAATGAGGCTCAGAATGCTTAAGGTAAGTGAGGAGTAACTTTGGATCACTTTAAAATGAACTGGTTCTGTTTTGGTTTTGAGGACAATCAGCGGCCTTAATGCCATACTGGGGAACTTTTTAGTCAAGCAATGTAGACAGAAGATGTGGGGGGCATGCTCTCAACAGAAAAGTTCCAGTGTGGCTTTAAGTTCCTGATACTTACAGAGTTACAGATGGCCTGCACCTCTGGGTCTGCAGGCTGGGACTCTCCAATGCCTCCTACGATGAGCTGTGGACGGATAGGCTCCAGATCCTGAACCCAGCGGAGTTTGGGTTTACTGTTGGGGGGAGGCTCTACATGCACTTTGAGCTCCAGATGTTTGTTGTGTCCAACATGGACCTAAAAAAGCAGAAGATTCAAGGTGGAACAAAAAGTGGTGACATTATTCACAATTGATGAAACAAATTTAAGACATAAAATTAATATGACAACTTTGTGGAGCCAGTCCCAAACAAATAATGAAAAGGCTGACTATTTGTAGATCATATGTCAGTATTCTCCCATAGAGTCACACAGAGTTGTTAAGTGTGACGTCACTTCTGGGTCCTTACAATTAAATTAAATTAATTACAATTTCATTTTTTTTTGCAACAACACATCTCATGATAAAACGAGATAGCTTGTGCTGCTCTTTCGGCTTGGCTCAGTGGTCAGTAGAGCTTTGTACAGCGGCTTAAGGGACCGACAGCACTTTACAAGGTGGCAGCCTTGACAACGAGTGGCCCCTGCCTTGACTATGTCCATCCCGACCACGTGAATCCTCGCAAAACCACTGGTACCCCTCCCCCCTACTTTCGCCAGCAAAATGAAAACGGTTGATGCATGTGCGCGTGCATGGGTTTACAGGGGTGTGTTCAGAACACAAATGCAGCCAGTTCTGTCACAGCCCATTCCAAATTCTATATTACTGGTGCCTTTACTAGTTCGTACTTGCATTGTGGGGCTAATGAGGCAAAGGCTGCAGATATTACCCACACTGGCAGTGCTTTAAACTGCTACAGCGCTGAAAAATTGGTTCAGATGCCATCACCATATATGTACTTGTACTGTTCCACTTCAGCCTCCAGCAGAAAAATACAGCCCCAGTCCTTAACACTAGTGCTAGTGCTAAAATCAAGAGATCAGGCCCTATGAGTCCAACAAAGCCTCATACAGAGCAGAGCCTACAGTTAGCATCACACCCTCAGGGAATGTTGATGACATTAGCTGCAGAGTATCAATAGAAGCTCAAAGTGCATGTGACAGGTTTTCATGTTTTTCTAATCATGACTTTGTTTGCTGCTTAATTCAAAAATAAATCAATTGTAGAAACTGACCTTGACAAAGTAGTTGTATCCATATACAGTTTGTTTCTTGTAGGATATGGCTCTGAAAGTCTCATATTTCTCTCCTCTCCGCGCCTCCACTTCACTCTTCACCTGAACAACAGCACAAGATTCACTCCCACTCAAACACTTAAAGTTGCTTCATGGAACTTTTCTAGTTTTTTAACTTAATGATTAAGTTAATGATTTTGCTGTGCCTGATTTTCGTTTTAAACAGTTTGCAGTGATCCAGAGTTATTCCTCACTTACCTTCTGCATTCAGAGCACCCTAATTATTCACCATGATGAGTTTATACGAGGTTGCCTCGCCACAGATCTGACCTGATGTGTCACCAGAAAAGTTCCACAGTGTAGCTTTAAGTTCATGATACTTACAGAGTCACACAGGGCCTGCACCTCTGGGTCTGCAGGTTGGGACTCTCCAATGCCTCCACACATGAACTCTCTTGGAATTTCAGGCATTTGTGGTTGTCGGGGTCTATGACATATGAACGGCTCTGGAGCTCGAAATCTCATGCCTTGAGGCCCTCTGACGCCTCCACACCGGAACACTCTTGGATTTTCAGGCATCATCATTTCCTGTTGTCGGGGTCTGTGACATATGAACGGCTCTGGAGGTATAACTCTCATGCCTTCCCGGTCCAAGTCAGAGATCTGGTCGTCTGTGGACTCGTGAACACTGCGGAGGACTGGTCCACTGTTGGTGTGAGGCAGCCCCACAAACACAACCAGCTCCAGATGTTTGTTCTGCCCAACGTGGACCTAAAGAAGCAGAAGTTTCAAGGAGGATCAGAGAGTGTCACCGTTATTCAGCCCCAAAGACGTGACTCTTGTCATTTGAGAGGACTTTAAATCAGGAGATTAACATGACAACTTTGTGGAGCCACGTCCAAACTAATAATGACAAGGTTCAACATTTGCGGATCATAATTTGGAATATTTATTCTAATGTCAGTGAATCTCCCATAGAGTCATATAGAGCTGTTAAGAGATGATGTCACTTCCAAGTCCAACAAGAAACTTCACAGTTGATTTCTATCTTTGGTTTTGTTCATTATTCATTGAACAAGAGACAATGACCTTTGAACTGTATCAAATATGTGAATGATGTAGTAATAATCTGTCGTAACATGGGATTACCAGTGTGTATATCTCACTAACTTGTCAGTCACTGCTTATGCTGGTTAAACCTACTCTAGTTGATGTTGCTCTGTCTGATCATGTCTGTGTCTTCTTTGACCTGTGTGTTATTCTCTAACCACCGTCTGGTCCTACAGTTGCTCGAAGGAGACACGTCAATGATAACATAGGTGCACTGCTCATGGAAATGATACATTTTGAAATTGCCTCATGTTCTAATGTTGATGATGTGTTGAACTCTGTGACTTCGAGTGTTTGAATGTTCTGGACACTATTGCCCCGCTGAAGGTTAAAATGGTTAAAGACGGGCAAAAAGCTCCGTGGGGGAATGATACCTCAGTCAGGGCACAGAAAAGAGAGTGCCGAAAGGCCGACCAGAAATGACGAAAGTCAAACCTCCATGTCCATTATGAGATTTACAGAGAAAAGATGCACATGTACAATGTACAGTTTGGGTAGAACAAGAGAGATACTTTTTGTACATTACTGAAAATTGCAGTAACAACTCTCATGTCCTGTTTAAAATAGTGAACAGATTAACAAACCTTCCAGCTCCACTGCCGTTAGAACTACTTTCCACATCTAAGTGTAATGAGTTTGCAGAATTCTTTAATGACAAGGTTCAGGGCATCAAAAATGCAATAAATTCCACAACACAAATAACAAGTATACAGCCACAGAGACACTTAGAGCTGAATCACTTTGCACCTGTAACTGACAAAACTGTTTTAGAGATCGTCACCAGTCTGAGTTCATCTTCATGCTGCTTCAACGTGTTACCCACTAGATTTCTGAAGTTCTTCCTCAACAGTTTGCTTTCATCACTTGCTCACATAGTTAACATGTCACTTCAATCTGGAACATTCCCAAGAGCGTTGAAAACTGCACTCATCAGCCTCTCCTAATGAAGAGCCGTCTTGACGTCACAATTTCCGACCCAACTCAAACCTGCCTTTTTTTTTTGGCGAAGTCTGTTTACCAACAGCTTATGAACTTTCTCCAAATGAACAACTCCTTTCTCCTTTAATGTTTTCCAGTCAGGTTTTAGAGCCCTCCACAGCACTGAGACTGCTCTGATCAAGGTGACAAATGACACCCGCCTGAACACTGACGCCGGCAAAGTCTCAGCGTTGATCCTGTTAGATCTGAGTGCTGCTTTTGACACTGTCGATCATGGGATCCTCTTACAGAGATTGGAGGACTGGGTGGGCATCTCTGGTACTGTACTAAACTGGTTCAAGTCTTATTTAGAAGACAGGAAGTATTTTGTTAAAATTGGAAACTGTGTCTCAGATCACATGGCCCTGACCTGTGGGGTGCCCCAGGGGTCAATCCTGGCCCCCCTTTTGTTCAGTCTCTACATGCTGCCCCCTGCAGGCCAGTTAATATGCAGCAAAAATGTGTCCTTCCACAACTCTGTAGAAGACACTCAGATCTATGTCTCAATGCACCAGGAGACTGTGGACCAGTGGACTCACTTTGTCACTGCATCCAACAGATCAGTGTGTGGATGCAAAACAACTTTCTCCAGCTAAACTCAGACAAGACTGAAGTCATAGTGTTTGGTCCACAGAAACAAAGAGACAGTGTCAGCAGTCACCTCCAGTCTCTCTCTCTGAAACATTCAACTCTAGAAATGTAAAGGGTAATAATGGACTCCGACTTGAACTTTAACAGCCACATCAAATCAATAACATCTGCAGCCTTTTTACCATCTAAAAAAACTGCAAAAATCAAACGTATTCTGTCTAAATCAGACTTGGACAGGCTTATCCATGCATTTGTCTCCAGTAGGACAGACTACTGTAACGTCCTCTCACTGGCCTCTCCAAACGAGCTGTGAGACGCTGCAGAACATCCAGAACATCCAGAACATTCAGAATGCTGAAGCTCGGGTCTTGACTCGAATCAGGAAGTACGAGCACATGAGTCCTGTGCTCAGGTCTCTGCACTGGCCCCTGTGGCTCAGAGACTTTAAAGCAGCTCTGTTTGTGTACAAGTGTCTCCGTGACCAGGCACCAAAGAATCTGTGACATGTTAGTGCAACATGAACCATCTACACTCTGAGGAGCTCAGGGACCGGCCTCCTGCTGGTGCCCAGAGTCAGGACTAAACACAGGGAGTCAGCATTTCAGATTCATGCAGCTAAAACTTGGAACAGTCTTCCTGAAGATGTAAGACAGGCCTCTACTCTGACTCTGTTTAAATCCAGGCTCAAAGTGATTCTGTTTAGCTGCACATGATTATTTATGTTTTGATTTGTCTGTATTGTGATTTTAATGTATTTCTTATTTTGTAAAGCACTTTGAATTACTTTGAGTACAGATTGTGCTGTACAAATAAACTTGACTTGCCTTACTCTAGCTTTGTAGCTTAACCTCCCTCGTACAGTTTCTGTCACAGTGTCACAGTTATAATCCATGGAACTACAACAGGAACTGGATAAGACATTCCTCTCCATCCCAGAGTGAGACGGACTAGTGGCCACTCCAGGTACTGCAGCTCCCCATGTTCAGCTGACAGGACATCCACAACTTTTCACTAAAGTCAGGTTTCTCTATTTTCACAACATGAATGTTTTCACAGTTTTAAATGGTCAAAGTGTCTAAAAGTTTGCTTTGTAAGATTTAGTCTAGCCCCTCTCTGAGCCCACACTGGCTCCACTCTAGCAGCTCTCACTCTGATTGGTCAGAACTGGTCACACGGTGCATGTTTCTGACATCACACAGGTGGGAGGAGCTAGTCTGTGCAGAGGAAATAATGCAGAAGAAAAAAATATTTGGGGGGATTTTACACCAATGAGCACAGATCACTGAAAACAGCTCAACACTTCAACTCATCTTCCAATTCTTATTAAACTTTCATGTTATAACCATGGATCTGTGCTTATAAACTTGTTGGCTTCAAACAACTGAAATGTGTTTTTAACGTGACACGTGCTGTCGCTTAAAAAGAGAGGAAATTGTAAACATCATTGTTTTCAACCAACTGATGAACCAGGAAGTGACATGACACTGAACAACTCTATAGGAGCTTAAAGTCTAATCATGACTTTGTTTGCTGGGGTAGTACCTGTGCTAATTACACATGAGGGTGATAGTTCTAATCTTTAGGATTCTTATTGTCAAAACATCATCAGAATATTGTCTTTGGGTTAATTAAAAAATAAAACAATTGTAGGAACTGACCTTGACAAAGTAGTTGCATCCAGCTACAGTTTGTGTCCTGTAGGATATGGCTTCAAAAGTCTCATATTTCTCTCCTCTCTTCTCCTCCACATCTCTCTTCACCTGAACAACAGCACAAGATTCACTCATAACACAGAGGGTCATTTTTTACGCCATTTGTTTGTCTCTATGGATAAGTTAGTTTGTCGGAAATGTTCCACAGTATTGCATTAAATATCTATCAATCTAAAAATGAACTAGTTCTATTTTGGGTTTGAGGACAATCAGTGCCCTTATTGCAATGCTGTGGAACTTTCCAGGAAAGCAATGTAGGCAGAAGATGTGTGGGGGTGTGCCTTCAACAGAAAAGTTCCACAGTGTGGTTTTATGTGTGTGACACTTACAGAGTCACAGATGGCCTGCACCCCTGGGTCTGCACGTTGGGGCCTTCCGATGCCTCCTAAAACAGGCCCACGTGGACGAACAGGCCGTCTGATTTCCTGCCGCAAGTCAGAGATCTGGTCATCTGTGAAATCCTTAACCCCGCGGAGGTCGGGCCGACTGTTGGGGAAAGGCATTACATACAAAAAGAGCTCCAGATGTTTGTTGCCACCAACATGGACCTAAAGAAGCAAAAGATTCCAGGATAAACAAAAAGTGGTGACATTATTCACAACTGCTGAAAGGAACTGAAGACATAAGATTAATATGACAATTTTGTGTAGCCAATCCCAAACAAATAATGAAAAAGTTGACTATTGACTATCCTCAATCCAAGGTTTGACTACTGATTGGATTTGTCTCTCCAGTACCCTGGAATAGACCTTACTGGGGAGGCTGAGGAGTGTGATTCCCCTGCAGTTGGAACACACCCTCCCATCGCCCTTCTTAAACAGACAGAACACCACCCTGCTCTGTCAGCCCAGAGGTACTGTCCCCAACTGCCACGTGATGTTGCAGAGGCGTGTCAGTCAAGACAGCCCCACAACATCCACGGATTTAAGATACTCAGGACAGATCTCATCCATCCCCAGTGACTTGCCACCAAGGAGCTTGTCATCTTCAGCCAGGGTGATGGACGAGTCCACCTCCAAGTCTCCAGCCTCTTCTTTCTCCTTGAAATTGATTGAGGAGATCCTCAATGTATTCCTTCCATCACCCAGTGACATCCCCAGTCGAGGTCAACAGCTCTCCCCCCGCACTGTAAACAGTGTTGGTGAAGTACTCTCCTGAGGTGTTGGACGGTTTGCCAGAATTTCTTTGAGGCTGACTGATAGTCCTCCTCCATGGCTTCCCCGAACTCCTCCCAGCCCCGGGTTTTTGCCTCTGTGACTGCACTGGCAGCAGCTCACTTGGCTTACAAGTGCCACTGACAGAGGGTCTGCCAGACCTTCCCAACACACACTGACTATATGCTTGGGTCTGCCAGGCCTTTCCGGCTTCCTCCTCAAACAGTGGACCCAAGTCACAACCAGGTGGTGATCGGTGGACAGCTCTGCCCCTCTCTTCACCCGAGTGTCCAAGACACGCGGCCGAAAATCAGATGAAACGACGACAAAGTCGATCATCGATCTCCGGCCTAGGGCGTCCTATTGTCTCGTGAACTGGTGGACACCCTTGTGCTTGAACATGGTGTTTGTTATGGACAAACTGTGACTAGCACAGAAGTCCAGTAACAGAACACCGATTGGGTTCAGATCAGGGAGGCCGTGCTTCCCGATCACCCCTCTCCAGGTGTTACTGGTGTTGCCCACGTGGGTGTTGAAGACTCCCAGTCTAACAACGAAGTCCCCAGTCGGTACAATTTCTAGTACCCCTTCCAGGGACTCTAAGAAGACCGGGTACTCTGCACTGTTGTTCGGCCCATAGGTCCCCACCCAAAGGGGCAGGGACATGAACCTTTCTTTCACTGGGGTGAACTCCAACACGTGGCGGCTCAGCTCTAGGGCTGTAAGTAAGCCCACACAAGGTTGCCACCGCTCCACGTGGGCAACACAAGCCCAACTATATTTAGGCGGTACCTCTCAACCTCTTGCACAAGCTCAGGCCACCACCCCCCTTCATTTGACCGGAGCTGAATGTTTTGGGTCACATGACACTCTTTAAGTTCACTTCTTTCTACAGTCTATGAGTCTAACAAAGCCTCATACAGAGCAGAGCCTACAGTTAGCATCACACCCTCAGGGAATGTTGACGACATCAGCTGCAGAGTATCAATAGAAGCTCAAAGTGCATGTGACAGGTTTTCATGTTTTTCTATTCGTGACTTTGTTTGCTGCTTAATTAAAAAAATAAAACAATTGTAGAAACTGACCTTGACAAAGTAGTTGTATCCTTTTACAGTTTGTTGTTTGTAGGATATGGCTTTGAAAGTCTCATATTTCTCTCCTCTCCGCGCCTCCACTTCACTCTTCACCTGAACAACAGCACAAGATTCACTCCCACTCAAACACTTAAAGTTGCTTCATGGAACTTTTCTAGTTTTTTAACTTAACTTAATGCTTTTGCTGTACCTTTTCATTTTAAACAGTTTGCAGTGATCCAGAGTTATTCCTCACTTACCTTCTGCATTCAGAGCACCCTAATTATTCAACATGATGAGCTTATATAAGGTTGCCTCTCTACAAATCTGACCTAATGTGTCACCAGAAAGTTCCATAGTGTAGCTTTAAATTCATGATACTTACAGAGTCACACAGTGCCTGAACCTCTGGGTCTGCAGGTTGGGACTCTCCGATGCCTCCACATCCATATTGTCGGGGTCTGAATGGCTCTAGAGTTCTAAATCTCATGCTTTGGGGCTCTCTGACGCCTCCACATATGAGCTCTTTTGGAGATTCAGGCATCATCATTTGTGGTTGTCGGGGTCTATGACATATGAACGGCTCTGGACCTCGAAATCTCATGCCTTGAGGCCCTCCGACGCCTCCACACCGGAACACTCTTGGATTTTCAGGCATCATCATTTCCTGTCGTCGGGGTCTGTGACATATGAACGGCTCTGGAGGTATAACTCTCATGCCTTCCCGGTCCAAGTCAGAGATCTGGTCATCTGTGGACTCGTGAACACTGCGGAGGACTGGTCCACTGTTGGTGTGAGGCAGCCCCACAAACACAACCAGCTCCAGATGTTTGTTCTGCCCAACGTGGACCTAAAGATGCAGAAGATTCAAGGAGGATCAGAGAGTGTCACCGTTATTCAGCCCCAAAGACGTGACTCTTGTCATTTGAGAGGACTTTAAATCAGGAGATTAACATGACAAGTTTGTGGAGCCACGTCCAAACTAATAATGACAAGGTTCAACATTTGCGGATCATAATTTGGAATATTTATTCTAATGTCAGTGAATCTCCCATAGAGTCATATAGAGCTGTTAAGAGATGATGTCACTTCCAAGTCCAACAAGAAACTTCACAGTTGATTTCTAGCTTTGGTTTTGTTCCTTATTCATGGAGCAAGAGACGTTTACCTTTCAATTGTATCAAATATGTGAATGATGTAGTAATAATCTGTCGTAACATGGGATTACCAGTGTGTATATCTCACTAACTGTCAGTCACTGCTTATGCTGGTTAACCTACTCTAGTTGATGTTGCTCTGTCTGATCATTTCTGTGTCTTCTTTGACCTGTGTGTTATTCTCTAACCACCGTCTGGTCCTACAGTTGCTCGAAGGAGACACGTCAATGATAACATAGGTGCACTGCTCATGGAAATGATACATTTTGAAATTGCCTCATGTTCTAATGTTGATGATGTGTTGAACTCTGTGACTTCGAGTGTTTTGAATGTTCTGGACACTATTGCCCCGCTGAAGGTTAAAATGGTTAAAGACGGGCAAAAAGCTCCGTGGGGGAATGATACCTCAGTCAGGGCACAGAAAAGAGAGTGCCGAAAGGCCGACCAGAAATGACGAAAGTCAAACCTCCATGTCCATTATGAGATTTACAGAGAAAAGATGCACATGTACAATGTACAGTTTGGGTAGAACAAGAGAGATACTTTTTGTACATTACTGAAAATTGCAGTAACAACTCTCATGTCCTGTTTAAAATAGTGAACAGATTAACAAATCTTCCAGCTCCACTGCCGTTAGAACTACTTTCCACATCTAAGTGTAATGAGTTTGCAGAATTCTTTAATGACAAGGTTCAGGGCATCAAAAATGCAATAAATTCCACAACACAAATAACAAGTATACAGCCACAGAGACACTTAGAGCTGAATCACTTTGCACCTGTAACTGACAAAACTGTTTTAGAGATCGTCACCAGTCTGAGTTCATCTTCATGCTGCTTCAACGTGTTACCCACTAGATTTCTGAAGTTCTTCCTCAACAGTTTGCTTTCATCACTTGCTCACATAGTTAACATGTCACTTCAATCTGGAACATTCCCAAGAGCGTTGAAAACTGCACTCATCAGCCTCTCCTAATGAAGAGCCGTCTTGACGTCACAATTTCCGACCCAACTCAAATCTGCCTTTTTTTTTTGGCGAAGTCTGTTTACCAACAGCTTATGAACTTTCTCCAAATGAACAACTCCTTTCTCCTTTAATGTTTTCCAGTCAGGTTTTAGAGCCTCCACAGCACTGAGACTGCTCTGATCAAGGTGACAAATGACACCCGCCTGAACACTGACGCCGGCAAAGTCTCAGTCTTGATCCTGTTAGATCTGAGTGCTGCTTTTGACACTGTCGATCATGGGATCCTCTTACAGAGACTGGAGGACTGGGTGGGCATCTCTGGTACTGTACTAAACTGGTTCAAGTCTTATTTAAAAGACAGGAAGTATTTTGTTAAAATTGGAAACTGTGTCTCAGATCACATGGCCCTGACCTGTGGGGTGCCCCAGGGGTCAATCCTGGCCCCCCTTTTGTTCAGTCTCTACATGCTGCCCCCTGCAGGCCAGTTAATATGCAGCAAAAATGTGTCCTTCCACAACTCTGTAGAAGACACTCAGATCTATGTCTCAATGCACCAGGAGACTGTGGACCAGTGGACTCACTTTGTCACTGCATCCAACAGATCAGTGTGTGGATGCAAAACAACTTTCTCCAGCTAAACTCAGACAAGACTGAAGTCATAGTGTTTGGTCCACAGAAACAAAGAGACACTGTCAGCAGTCACCTCCAGTCTCTCTCTCTGAAACATTCAACTCTAGAAAATAAAGGGTAATAATGGACTCCGACTTGAACTTTAACAGCCACATCAAATCAATAACATCTGCAGCCTTTTACCATCTAAAAAACTGCAAAAATCAAACGTATTCTGTCTAAATCAGACTTGGACAGGCTTATCCATGCATTTGTCTCCAGTAGGACAGACTACTGTAACGTCCTCTCACTGGCCTCTCCAAACGAGCTGTGAGACGCTGCAGAACATCCAGAACATCCAGAACATTCAGAATGCTGAAGCTCGGGTCTTGACTCGAATCAGGAAGTACGAGCACATGAGTCCTGTGCTCAGGTCTCTGCACTGCCCCCTGTGGCTCAGAGACTTTAAAGCAGCTCTGTTTGTGTACAAGTGTCTCCGTGACCAGGCACCAAAGAATCTGTGACATGTTAGTGCAACATGAACCATCTACACTCTGAGGAGCTCAGGGACCGGCCTCCTGCTGGTGCCCAGAGTCAGGACTAAACACAGGGAGTCAGCATTTCAGATTCATGCAGCTAAAACTTGGAACAGTCTTCCTGAAGATGTAAGACAGGCCTCTACTCTGACTCTGTTTAAATCCAGGCTCAAAGTGATTCTGTTTAGCTGCACATGATTATTTATGTTTTGATTTGTCTGTATTGTGATTTTAATGTATTTCTTATTTTGTAAAGCACTTTGAATTACTTTGAGTACAGATTGTGCTGTACAAATAAACTTGACTTGCCTTACTCTAGCTTTGTAGCTTAACCTCCCTCGTACAGTTTCTGTCACAGTGTCGCAGTTATAATCCATGGAACTACAACAGGAACTGGATAAGACATTCCTCTCCATCCCAGAGTGAGACGGACTAGTGGCCACTCCAGGTACTGCAGCTCCCCATGTTCAGCTGACAGGACATCCACAACTTTCACTAAAGTCAGGTTTTATAGGGATTTTTCTCTATTTTCACAACATGAATGTTTTCACAGTTTTAAATGGTCAAAGTGTCTAAAAGTTTGCTTTGTAAGATTTAGTCTAGCCCCTCTCTGAGCCCACACTGGCTCCACTCTAGCAGCTCTCACTCTGATTGGTCAGAACTGGTCACACGGTGCATGTTTCTGACATCACACAGGTGGGAGGAGCTAGTCTGTGCAGAGGAAATAATGCAGAAGAAAACAGCTCAACACTTCAACTCATCTTCCAATTCTTATTAAACTTTCATGTTATAACCGTAGATCTGTGCTTATAAACTTGTTGGCTTCAAAGAACTGAAATATGTTTTTAACGTGACATGTGCTGTCGCTTAAAAAAGAGAGGAAATTGTAAACATCATTGTTTTCAATCAACTGATGAACCAGGAAGTGACATGACACTGAACAACTCTATAGGAGCTTAAAGTCTAATCATGACTTTGTTTGCTGGGGTAGTACCTGTGCTAATTACACATGAGGGTGATAGTTCTAATCTTTAGGATTCTTATTGTCAAAACATCATCAGAAATTGTCTTTGGGTTAATTAAAAAATAAAACAATTGTAGGAACTGACCTTGACAAAGTAGTTGCATCCAGCTACAGTTTGTGTCCTGTAGGATATGGCTTCAAAAGTCTCATATTTCTCTCCTCTCTTCTCCTCCACATCTCTCTTCACCTGAACAACAGCACAAGATTCACTCATAACACAGAGGGTCATTTTTTACGCCATTTGCTTGTCTCTATGGATAAGTTAGTTTGTCGGAAATGTTCCACAGTATTGCATTAAATATCTATCAATCTAAAAATGAACTAGTTCTATTTTGGGTTTGAGGACAATCAGTGCCCTTATTGCAATGCTGGGGAACTTTCCAGGAAAGCAATGTAGGCAGAAGATGTGTGAGGTGTGCCTTCAACAGAAAAGTTCCACAGTGTGGTTTTATGTGTGTGACACTTACAGAGTCACAGATGGCCTGCACCCCTGGGTCTGCACGTTGGGGCCTTCCGATGCCTCCTAAAACAGGCCCACGTGGACGAACAGGCCGTCTGATTTCCTGCCGCAAGTCAGAGATCTGGTCATCTGTGAAATCCTTAACCCCGCGGAGGTCGGGCCGACTGTTGGGGGAAGGCATTACATACAAAAAGAGCTCCAGATGTTTGTTGCCACCAACATGGACCTAAAGAAGCAAAAGATTCCAGGATAAACAAAAAGTGGTGACATTATTCACAACTGCTGAAAGGAACTGAAGACATAAGATTAATATGACAATTTTGTGTAGCCAATCCCAAACAAATAATGAAAAAGTTGACTATTGACTATCCTCAATCCAAGGTTTGACTACTGATTGGATTTGTCTCTCCAGTACCCTGGAATAGACCTTACTGGGGAGGCTGAGGAGTGTGATTCCCCTGCAGTTGGAACACACCCTCCCGTTGCCCTTCTTAAACAGACAGAACACCACCCTGCTCTGTCAGCCCAGAGGTACTGTCCCCAACTGCCACGTGATGTTGCAGAGGCATGTCAGTCAAGACAGCCCCACAACATCCACGGATTTAAGATACTCAGGACAGATCTCATCCATCCCCAGTGACTTGCCACCAAGGAGCTTGTCATCTTCAGCCAGGGTGATGGACGAGTCCACCTCCAAGTCTCCAGCCTCTTCTTTCTCCTTGAAATTGATTGAGGAGATCCTCAATGTATTCCTTCCATCACCCAGTGACATCCCCAGTCGAGGTCAACAGCTCTCCCCCCGCACTGTAAACAGTGTTGGTGAAGTACTCTCCTGAGGTGTTGGACGGTTTGCCAGAATTTCTTTGAGGCTGACTGATAGTCCTCCTCCATGGCTTCCCCGAACTCCTCCCAGCCCCGGGTTTTTGCCTCTGTGACTGCACTGGCAGCAGCTCACTTGGCTTACAAGTGCCACTGACAGAGGGTCTGCCAGACCTTCCCAACACACACTGACTATATGCTTGGGTCTGCCAGGCCTTTCCGGCTTCCTCCTCAAACAGTGGACCCAAGTCACAACCAGGCGGTGATCGGTGGACAGCTCTGCCCCTCTCTTCATCCGATTGTCCAAGACACGCAGCATGAGGTCAGATGACACGACAACAAAGTTGATCATCGACCTCCGGCCTAGGGCGTCCCCCCCCGTCAAGTCACCACAGCCAGATGCTGTGTCTGTGGACTGGGTCAATGACAAACCCGTCTATGACTGCCACCAAGTCCTCTGTGCACTTGACCCTTATGAATCCCTCTGCAGGTGGTGAGCCCACAGGAGGGTGGAGCAATGTTGTCCTTTCAGACTGAGCCCGGCCGGGCCCCAATTTTTTTTGTTATTTCATATTCCTAATATCATATCATATTTCATATTGCTAATTTCATATTCTTAATATGAAATTATTCAAGATTGGCTCCTATAACCTCAAGCTTTGGTGAGCTTCATTTGACTGTAGCCGAATGTTTTGGGTGACACTCTCTTAGTTCACTTCTTTCTACAGTCTATGAGTCTGACAAAGCCTCATACAGAGCAGAGCCTACAGTTAGCATCACACCCTCAGGGAATGTTGATGACATCAGCTGCAGAGTATCAATAGAAGCTCAAAGTGCATGTGACAGGTTTTCATGTTTTTTTAATCATGACTTTGTTTGCTGCTTAATTCAAAAATAAAACAATTGTAAAAACTGACCTTGACAAAGTAGTTGTATCCATATACAGTTTGTTTCTTGTAGGATATGGCTTTGAAAGTCTCATATTTCTCTCCTCTCTGCGCCTCCACTTCACTCTTCACCTGAACAACAGCACAAGATTCACTCCCACTCAAACACTTAAAGGTGCTTCATGGAACTTTTCTAGTTTTTTAACTTAAGTTAATGCTTTTGCTGTTTCATTGGAAACAGTTTGCAGTGATCCAAAGTTATTCCTCACTTACCTTCTGCATTCAGAGCACCCTAATTATTCACCATGATGAGTTTATACGAGGTTGCCTCTCCACAGATCTGACCTGATGTGTCACGAGAAAAGTACCACAGTGTAGCTTTAAGTTCATGATACTTACAGAGTCACACAGGGCCTGCACCTCTGGGTCTGCAGGTTGGGACTTTCCGATGCCTCCAGGCATGAGCTCAGGCTCAGGATATTCAGGCATCATCCTTTCCCGTCGTTCGGGTAAGTAACATACAACTGGTTGGTGGTGTATAAATCTCACACCTAACTGCTCCAGGTCAGAGATCTGGTCGTCTGTGGACTCCTGAACACTTTGGAGGACTGGCCCACTGTTGGTGTGAGGCAGCCCCACAACACAAACCAGCTCCAGATGTTTGTTCTCCCCAACGTGGACCTAAAGAAGCAGAAGATTCAAGGAGGATCAGAGAGTGTCACCGTTATTCAGTCCCAAAGATGTGACTGTTGTCATTTGAGAGGACTTTAAATCAGGAGATAAACTTGGCAAGATTGTGGAGCCACGTCCAAACAAATAATGTCAACTCTATATAGGAGCTTAAAGTCTAATCATGACTTTGTTTGCTGGGGTAGTACCTGTGGTAATTACACATGAGGGTGATAGTTCGAATCTTTACGATTCTTATTGCCAAAACATCATCTGAATATTGTCTTTGGGTTAATAAAAAATAAAACAATTGTAGGAACTGACCTTGACAGTGTAGTTGGTTCCAGCTACAACTTGTGTCCTGTAGGATATGGCTTCAAAAGTCTCATATTTCTCTCCTCTCTTCTCCTCCACATCTCTCTTCACCTGAACAACAGCACATGATTCACTCATAATACAGAAGGTCGTTTTTTACACCACTTACTTACTGTCTCCATGGATAAGTTAGTTTGCCTGAAATGTTCCACGGTATTGCATTAAACACTATCTCTTTTTTATTAAAAGTCTCATAGAACATTATTTTCTGATTTATGTTATAATAATATTTCCTCATGAAAACATCCTCAGAGTTGTGTTTTCTTTAATTTACACATGTTTAACACAAATCAAGACATATTTGTGTGAATTTTTCTCTCAAACAGAAAACTCTGTTCCACCTTGTGATGCCTCTGATAATACAGGAAGTGCTCCACTGTGTTTTCCACAACTTCACTAGAATCATTTGGATGATTTCAGTCGTGGAATTGTCGATCTCTACTGAACTAAAAGTAAAAGGAGCTGTTCACTTGAAAACTACTACTTCATGACATCACAAGGTGGAACAGAGCATTTTGAGCTTTGGAGATGTAGACGATGAGGTAACATTATAACATGTGTAAAAACTCAAGAATCCATTTTCTGTAATACAGGACCTTTTTATAGGCCCCTCTCCACAGATCTGACCTGGTGCTTTTCTGTTTAGAAGAGTTCAATTCTTGCCTCACTACAGACACATTGTATAAGCAGCTCTTGAGGTCAAAATAATTCCACTGTGTACTGTCTGCATCCCATTATAAAAGTGTTTTATTGTCAGAGAATCAGGAAGTGTGCTGTTATATTACTAGTCCTTCAGCCATTACTTACTTGAGGAGTAACTTTGGACCAGTTTGTAGAGTGTTTGTCCACTGACCCAAAAGTTGGCAGTTTGAATCCTGCTCTCAACGTAAAACATCACTGGCTGAGCCTCAGTGTCTATGTACACTGGTGTATGAATGTGTGAGTGTTTTTTTTATGTAAAGATCTATGAGTGCTTTGAAGGAGGAAAAGTGATGTATACAAATGTGACGTTTACCAACTGGTTTTGTTTTGGTTTTGAGGACAATCCGGTACAGCGCCCTTAATGCCATACTGGAGAACTTTCCAGTCAAGCAGTGTAAGCAGAAGGTGTGAGGGGCGTGCTCTCAATAGATAAGTTCCACAGTGTGGCTTTCAGTGTGTGATACTTACAGAGTTACAGATGGCCTGCACCTCTGGGTTTGCAGGTTGGGACTCTCCGATGCCTCCGACGATGAACTCCTGTGGACGAACAGGCTCCAAGGGAGTCTGAACCCCGCGGAGGACGGGCCTACTGTTGGGGGAAGGCTCTACATGTAACCAGAGCTCCAGATGTTTGTTGCCATCAACATGGACCTAAAGAAGCAGAAGATTCAAGGAAGAACAAAAAGTGGTGACATTATTCACAATTGTTAAAAATAAATTGAAGACATGAAATCAATAGTGTGAAAAAGTGTGATGTCACTTCCGGGTCCATCAGCTGATTGACAATTAATTACAGTTTCCCCTTTTTTTAACAACAGCACATCTCATGCTAAAACCAGATATCAGTTGTTTAAAGTTAAAGAGGCTATAAGCATGGATCTATGGTTATAACTGTGACAGAAAGAGTACGAGGGAGGCTGAGGTAAGAAGCTAGACTAAACTAGTGTTAGTGGTGACTGTCAGTTAGTGAGATATACACACTGGTAATCCTATTATGATAGATTATTACTGCATCATTTACATATTTGAGAGAATTTGTGGTTGAACATGCGTTTTTGAAAGGTAACTGTCTCTGGTTTGAGGAATAAAGAACAAAACTAAAGCTAGAAATCTGCTGTGAAGTTTCTGTTTGGACCTGGACACTTAACAACTCTATAGCCCCATGGCCTCAGTCTGAAATAATGACATCATCACATCTAAAATATGAATGACACCTATTGATACCTTACGGTGACATCACACTGGGGGTGTTCTACATGTATCCCTAATGGGGGAATGTTTAGCAGTTACCATGGTGACACAATGCACACATTAGCAAACACTGCCAAAAAAAGTTTTAAGATCGTCTGAAAACTCCTGTGATCAATACAAGCGTTCATGGTCCTGTTTAGAAATTAGTTTGTTTTGTTTTTTTACGCCATTTTCCATCCATCCATTTTTTTCTGCTTATCTGGGGCCGAGTTGCAGGAGCAACAGTTTAAGCAGAAACTCTCAGACTTCCTTCACCTCAGACACTTTGTCAAGCTCCTCCCGGGGGACCCCGAGGTGTTCCCAGGCCAGTCCAGAGACATAGTCCCTCAAGCATGTCCTGGGTCTTCCCTGGAGCCTCCTCCCGGTGGGAGGATTCCAGGAGGCATCCGGAACAGGTGCCCGAGCCACCTCAGCTGCTCCTCTCGATGTGGAGGAGCAGCGGCTCTACTCCAAGCTCCATCCGTGTGACTGAGCTCCTCACCCTATCTCTAAGGGAGCGCCCAGTCACCCTGTGGAGGAAACTAATTTTGACTGTTTGTATCGGCGATCTCGTCCTTTTGGTCATTACCAAGAGCTCATGACCAGAGGTGAGGGGAGGAATGTAGACTGATATTAAATCGAGAGCTTTGCCTTTTGGCTCAGCTCCCTCTTCACCACAACAGTCAGATACAGCGATTGCATCACTGCCGGCGCTGCACCGATCCACCTGTCAATCTCATGCTCCATTTTCCCCTGTGGGGCAATGAGCCCACACCAGCCTGCCGTCACTCCCCGTGGGCATGCAAGAGAAATGGCTCTGTGATCTGGTTGTCGAGGCCCCCGCCTTCGACTGTCACCCAGATCTCTTTGCAAGGGCCCCTTCTGGTTCCTCCTACGGGTAGTGGGTCCATGGGAGGAGGCCCCACATCATTCCCTCTGGCTGTGCCCGGCTGTGACCTTTTGGGGAAGATCCGGCCACCAGACACCCACCCCAGGACTGGCTCTAGAGTGGGGCCCCGGTGAGGCCACTCCTGGCCTTGTTCTTTTACTTGTCAAAAGGGTTTCTGAACCATCCCCTGGGACCTGTTTGCCTTGGGTGACCCTACCAGGTGCATGAAGCCCCCCACAACATAGCTCCCAGGATCCCTCCACCACGTTAATGTGGCCGTTCAAGAAGGTGCCATTTTGTAATTCCATATTCTTAATATGGAATTTGGCTCCAGATTTTCCCCTATAACTACAAGCCTTGGTGACCTTCATTTGACTGGCGCTGAATGTTTTGGGTCACATCACACTCCCTTAGTTCACTTTTTTCTACAGTCTATGAGTCTAACAAAGCCTCATAAAGAGCAGAGCCTACAGTTGGCATCACACCCTCAGGGAATGCTGACAACATCAGTGCATATGACAGGTTTTCACGTTTTTTGAATCATGATTTTGTTTGCTAAAGCAATTGTAGGAACTGACCGTGACATAGTAGTTGAATCCATATACAGCTTGTTTCTTGTAGGAAATGACTTCGAAAATCTCATACTTCTCTCTTCTCTTCGCCTCCACTTCACTCTTCACCTGAACAACAGCACAAGATTCACTCCCACTCAAACACTTAAAGGTGCTTCATGGAACTTTTCTACTTTTTTTTCTTAAGTTAATGCTTTTTGCTGTTTACACAGTTTGCAGTGATCCAAAGTTATTCCTCACTTACCTTCTGCATTCAGAGCACCCTAATTATTCACCATGATGAGTTTATACGAGGTTGCCTCTCCACAGATCTAACCTGATGTGTCACCAGAAAAGTTCCACACTGTAGCATTAAGTTCATGATACTTACAGAGTCACACAGGGCCTGCACCTCTGGGTCTGCAGGTTGGGACTCTCCGACGGACAAAAATCTACTCTCCTCTCTGTAGCACATGACTGGCTCTGGAAGTATAAGTCTCACAGGTTCCTGCCCCAAGTCAGAGATCTGGTCGTCTGTTGGACTCATGAACACTTTGGAGGACAGGTCCACTGTTGGTGTGAGGCAGCCCCACAAACACAACCAGCTCCAGATGTTTGTTCTCCCCAATGTGGACCTAAAGAAGCAGAAGATTCAAGAGGATCAGAGAGTGTCACCGTTATTCAGCCCCAAAGACGTGACTCTTGTCATTTGAGAGGACTTTAAATCAGGAGATTAACATGACAAGATTGTGGAACCACGTCCAAACAAATAATGACAAGGTTCAACATTTGTGGATCATAATTTGGAATATTTATTCTAATGTGAGTGAATCTCCCATAGAGTCATATAGAGCTGTTAAGAGATGATGTCACTTCCGAGTCCAACAAGAAACTTCACAGCTGATTTCTATCTTTGTTTTTGTTCCTTATTCATTGAACAATGACCTTTGAACTGTATCAAATATGTAAATGATGTAGTAATAATCTGTCGTAACATGGGATGACCAGTGTGTATATATCTCACTAACTGTCAGTCACTGCTTATGCTGGTTAAACCTACTCTAGCTTCGTAGCTCAACCTCCCTCATAAACTTAAGTCACAGTTATAATCCACGGAACTACAACAGGAACTGGATAAGACATTCCTCTCCATCCCAGAGTGACAGACTAGTGGCCACTCCAGCTTCCAAAGACACAATGCATTGTTTTGTAATGTAATGTTAAAACATGAATGTTTTCACATTTTTAAATGGTCAAAGTGCCTAAAAGTTTGCTTTGTAAAATTTAGCCTAACTCCTCTCTGATTGGTCAGAGCTGGTCACACGGTGCATGTTTCTGACATCACACAGGTGGGAGGAGCTAGTCTGTGTTGAGGAAATAATGCAAAAGAAAAAAATATTTGAGGGGATTTTACACCAATGAGCACAGATCACTGAAAACAGCTCAACACTTCAACTCATCTTCCAATTCTTATTAAACTTTCATGTTATAACCGTAGATCTGTGCTTATAAACTTGTTGGCTTCAAACAACTGAAATATGTTTTTAACGTGACACGTGCTGTCGCTTAAAAAAGAGAGGAAATTGTAAACATCATTGTTTTCAATCAACTGATGAACCAGGAAGTGACATGACACTGAACAATATAGATGAACTTTATAGCTGAACTTTAAGCTCTATAGGAGCTTAAGATTCTTATTGTCAAAATATCATCAGAATATTGTCTTTGGGTTAATAAAAAATAAAACAATTGTAAGAACTGACCTTGACAGTGTAGTTGGTTCCAGCTACAACTTGTGTCCTGTAGGATATGGCTTCAAAAGTCTCATATTTCTCTCCTCTCTTCTCCTCCACATCTCTCTTCACCTGAACAACAGCACAAGATTCACTCATAATACAGAAGGTCATTTTTTATGACACTTACTTGTCTCCATGGATAAGTTAGTTTGCCTGAAATGTTCCACAGTATTGCATTAAACATCTATCTATCTTGTATTTATTAAAAGTCCCATTGTACACTATGTTCTGATTTATGTTATAATAATATTTCCTCGTGAAAACATCCTCAGAGTTTTTTTTGTTTGTTTTTAATTTACACATGTTTAACACAAATCAGACATATTTGTGTGAATTTTTCTCTCAAACAGAAAAACTCTGTTCCACCTTGTGATGCCTCTGATAATACAGGAAGTGCTCCACTGTGTTTTCCACAACTTCACTAGAATCATTTGGATGATTTCAGTCGTGGAATTGTCGATCTCTACTGAACTAAAAGTAAAAGGAGCTGTTCACTTGAAAACTACTACTTCATGACATCACAAGGTGGAACAGAGCATTTTGAGCTTTGGAGATGTAGACGATGAGGTAACATTATAACATGTGTAAAAACTCAAGAATCCATTTTCTGTAATACAGGACCTTTTTATAGGCCCCTCTCCACAGATCTGACCTGGTGCTTTTCTGTTTAGAAGAGTTCAATTCTTGCCTCACTACAGACACATTGTATAAGCAACTCTTGAGGTCAAAATAATTCCACTGTGTACTGTCTGCATCCCATTATAAAGTGTTTTATTGTCAGAGAATCAGGAAGTGTGCTGTTATATTACTAGTCCTTCAGCCATTACTTACTTGAGGAGTAACTTTGGACCAGTTTGTAGAGTGTTTGTCCACTGACCCAAAAGTTGGCAGTTTGAATCCTGCTCTCAACGTAAAACATCACTGGCTGAGCCTCAGTGTCTATGTACACTGGTGTATGAATGTGTGAGTGTTTTTTTTTATGTAAAGATCTATGAGTGCTTTGAAGGAGGAAAAGTGATGTATACAAATGTGACGTTTACCAACTGGTTTTGTTTTGGTTTTGAGGACAATCAGGTACAGCGCCCTTAATGCCATACTGGAGAACTTTCCAGTCAAGCAGTGTAAGCAGAAGGTGTGGGGAGAGTGCCCTCAACAGAAAAATTCCACACTGTGTCTTTAAGTTCATGATACTTACAGAGTCACAAATGGCCTGCACCTCTGGATCTGCAGGTTGGGACTCTCCAATGCCTCCGACGATGAGCTCCTGTGGAGGAAAACGCTCTATGTCTCTGATTTCCTGCTGCAAGTCGGAGATCTGGTCATCTGTGAAATCCTTAACCCCACGGAGGTCGGGCCGACTGTTGGGGTCAGGCTCTACATACAAAAACAGCTCCAGATGTTTGTTGCCACCAACATGGACCTAAAGAAGCAGAAGATTCAACGAGGAACAAAAAGTGGTGACATTATTCACAGTTGAATTTGAAATCATCTATGGTTATAACTGTGACAGAAAGAGTACGAGGGAGGCTGAGGTAAGAAGCTAGACTAAACTAGTGTTAGTGGTGACTGTCAGTTAGATAAGACACTGGTAATTCTATTTATGATTGATTTTTACTACATCATTTATATATCTGATAAAATATGTAGTTGAACATGTGTTTTTGAAAGGTAATTGTATCTTGTGTGATGAATAAGGAACAATAAAAAAGCGAGAAAGTTTCTGGTTGGACTCAGAAGTGACACCAAATTCTAGAATATGAACGCACCTTATTGATACTTCACAGCAACATCACACTGGGGGTGGTCTACATGTATCTCTAATGGGGGAATGTTTAGGAGTCACCATGGTGACACAATGCACACATTAACAAACACAGCCAAAAAACATTTTTAAATCATCTGAAAACTCCTGTGATCAATACGAGCGTTCATGGTCCTGTTTAGGAGTTTTATTATTTATTTTTTTGCCATTTTGTAATTTCATATTCCTAATATGGAACTCGGCTCCAGATTCGCTCCTATGACTGCGAGCCTCAGTGAGCTTCATTTGACTGTAACCGAATGTTTTGTGTGACGTCACACTCTCTTAGTTCACTTCTTTCTACAGTCTGAGTCTGACGAAGCCTCATACAGAGCAGAGCCTACAGTTAGCATCACACCCTCAGGGAATGTTGACGACATCAGTGCATATGACAGGTTTTCATGTTTTTCTAATCATGACTTTGTTTGCTGCTTAAGTCAAAAATAAAACAACTGTAAAAAAGATGACTTTTTTAGGTATCTCCAGCTGAGGCATCATTTTAATGCAAATGTCAGACCCCAAAACCAAAAGAGCGATGCCTTGATTGGGCTTTTTTATAGACGTGTGTAAAGGAAAACTTACTAAAAAACATATCTCCTCCACATACCTTGTCCTACAGTCAAGAAAAACAAACTCTACCATATACATTGGTTAAATTATATGTGTTAAAAATTGACCCGTTTTAAGTTTAGTATGTAAAACTGCCATTTGCTTTTTTGTACCTGAGGCATCTAATCCTCAGCACAACTATTTTAACCAACAAAATAAATTTTCACCATTTTAGTAAATTGTAAAGGTCTGAAAAAAAAAAGTGACATCTGTGGTGTTACGGGTCAAAAATGACCCGGCAGAGATTAGTGGCTGTTTTATGCATCACTTACAACTGAGGCTGCTTGTGGATCAAATATGGCTCAGTGTGTCCCACAACACACACACATGCACGCACGCACGCACACACACACACACACACACACACGCACACACACACACACATACACACACACACACACACACACACACACAAAAAGGTCGTCTTCACCCACGTGAACTCTTCTCTTTCTTGAAGCACATTGATACATTTTGAGTCTAAAATAAACATTGTCATATATAAACAGAGTGAGATTATCAGCTGTATCTGTTGCAGCATCAGTCATGAGCAGGTTCACTGTTTATGAGCGCTGGATCAGATTTTTGGTCATGACAGTGATTCTGAAGACAGAGGGAAAGTGAAGCTGAGGAAGATGTTCTGAGGATGAGGATGAGGGCACAGACTGAATAAAAGAAGTGGACTAAGTGAGTGTGACACCCACAGCGTTTGGCGCCGCTCAAATGAAGCTCACGGTTACAGGAGCGAATTAGAGTCAGGTTATATGTTATGAATAGGATTTTTTGGACGGACAAAACAGCAAAAAAAAAAAAAAAAAATAGGATCATGTGTCGATTAATACGTATATTTTAGACCAATGACGAGTTCCAGCAGCAGGTACAGAGAGAAGGACGACAAGATCCTAACTAAGTCAATTGGAGCCAGAGTCAGAAGGAGCCGGAAGAGCCTCCTGGAGAACTTTCTATTTGGAACGCGGTGGCTACAGCGTTAGTTATGTCATTCATATATACGTCTGTGATGAGGATGACAGTATGACCCTGAACAAGAGCACACATGTGATGAGGAGAACCCAGATGTCACAAAGACTGAAAGAGACGTCTTCAAGTCAAGAAAAAGTGACAGTTCATGGTCACCAAGCCTCTTGACACCCAATATAATTATACTTATATAAATTAGATTTATATTATATGTATTATGTATAACTTATTATGATTATAGTATAATTATATAATATAATTACAATTTTATCACTATAGGAAATATAATTAGTGAATTTAAGCGTTTTTGTTAATCAAAACGAGTGGTATTTTTAAGATAAAAAGGTCTGTGTAGCCAAAAAAATAAAAATAAAATAAAATGTTTCCATGGACGAACACATACTAAGTTAGTTATGAGGGGAAAACAATATTGGATGATATCTAGTGTTTTAAGTATTTTAAGGCTGAGTTAAATCACGGGTCAAATTTGACCGGTAACACTAAAGACGCGTGTAGCTTTCTAACACAATACAAGAAATATATGTAAAACCATTTTAACAACCTCAAGCTCTGACTTATGGAGAGAGTTTATGTGGAAAAACACCGTGAGATACTTCATTACCCCTAGAATTAAAGAACCAAGACTAAGAATGCAGAACAAGGTAAATGTTGGAGAAATTGTGGACAATCATCAGTTGGACATTTTCATATATTCTGGCAATGTCCCAAGATCGCCCCCTATTGGACAGAAATTATTAAAACCATCAAGCTTATTACAGGATTGCAGCTAGAAGAAAGTTTTAACGTGTTTATTTGGGAAACTTACCACCCGGGCTGAAAAAAGATACTACAAGCAGCCAGCAAGAAAGTGATCACACGAAAATGGCTCCAGGACAAACCTCCTACTGTTTCAGAATGACTTATATAATCAACGTAATTCAGATTATGGAACGAACAACATTTTCTTTAAGACACTCCTCAGACAAAGGAGAACTATATTGGAAAATGTGGAAATCTTACAGTCAAAACAAAAACTTAATGTAAAAATGTTTTATACATCTTAGCAGATGTCACTAGCTATGTTATTTATATATATATATATTTTTTTTTTTGTTTCCTTTTTTGGTCGGTCTTTTGATTTATTTTTGTTTCACAATACTAATAATTTGTTTATGTAAATATGTGATATGTGATATACATAACTAAAATGACCTAATAAAACAAAGTTTAAAAAAATAAAACAATTGTAGAAACTGACCTTGACAAAGTAGTTGTATCCATATACAGTTTGTTGTCTTGTAGGATATGGCTCTTGAAAGTCTCATATTTCTCTCCTCTCTGCGCCTCCACTTCACTCTTCACCTAAACAACAGCACAAGATTCACTCCCACTCAAACACTTAAAGGTGTTTCATGGAACTTTACTAGTTTTTTTTTTTTTTACTTAAGTTAATGCTTTTGCTGTGCCTGATTTTCATTTGAAACAGTTTGCAGTGATCCAAAGTTATTCCTCACTTACCTTCTGCATTCAGAGCACCCTAATTATTCACCATGATGAGTTTATACGAGGTTGCCTCTCTACAGATCTGACCTGATGTGTCAACAGAAAAGTTCCACAGTGTAGCTTTAAGTTCATGATACTTACAGAGTCACACAGGGCCTGCACCTCTGGGTCTGCAGGTTGGGACTTTCCGATGCCTCCAGTCATGAGCTCAGGCTCAGGATATTCAGGCATCATTATTTCCTGTCTTGGGGGAAAGTAACATATGAACGGCTCTATAAATCCGCCTTCCTGCTCCAAGTCGTCTTTGGACTCATGAACACTTTGGAGGACTGGCCCACTGTTGGTGTGAGGCAGCCCCACAAACACAACCAGCTCCAGATGTTTGTTCTGCCCAATGTGGACCTAAAGAAGCAGAAGATTCAAGGAGGATCAGAGAGTGGCAGTTCAGCTCATCTTCCAATTCTTATTAAACTTTCATGTTATAACCATAGATCTGTGCTTATAAACTTGTTGGCTTTAAACAACTGCAATCTGTTTTTAACATGACACATGCTGTCGCTTAAAAAAGAGAGGAAATTGTAAACATCATTGTTTTCAACCAACTGATGAACCAGGAAGTGACATGACACTGAACAATATAGATGAACTTTATAGCTGAACTTTAAGCTCTATAGGAGCTTAAGATTCTTATTGTCAAAATATCATCAGAATATTGTCTTTGGGTTAATAAAAAATAAAACAATTGTAGGAACTGACCTTGACAGTGTAGTTGGTTCCAGCTACAACTTGTGTCCTGTAGGATATGGCTTCAAAAGTCTCATATTTCTCTCCTCTCTTCTCCTCCACATCTCTCTTCACCTGAACAACAGCACAAGATTCACTCATAATACAGAAGGTCATTTTTTATGACACTTACTTGTCTCCATGGATAAGTTAGTTTGCCTGAAATGTTCCACAGTATTGCATTAAACATCTATCTATCTTGTATTTATTAAAAGTCCCATTGTACACTATGTTCTGATTTATGTTATAATAATATTTCCTCGTGAAAACATCCTCAGAGTTTTTTTTGTTTGTTTTTAATTTACACATGTTTAACACAAATCAGACATATTTGTGTGAATTTTTCTCTCAAACAGAAAACTCTGTTCCACCTTGTGATGCCTCTGATAATACAGGAAGTGCTCCACTGTGTTTTCCACACTTCACTAGAATCATTTGGATGATTTCAGTCGTGGAATTGTCGATCTCTACTGAACTAAAAGTAAAAGGAGCTGTTCACTTGAAAACTACTACTTCATGACATCACAAGGTGGAACAGAGCATTTTGAGCTTTGGAGATGTAGACGATGAGGTAACATTATAACATGTGTAAAAACTCAAGAATCCATTTTCTGTAATACAGGACCTTTTTATAGGCCCTCTCCACAGATCTGACCTGGTGCTTTTCTGTTTAGAAGAGTTCAATTCTTGCCTCACTACAGACACATTGTATAAGCAGCTCTTGAGGTCAAAAATAATCCACTGTGTACTGTCTGCATCCATTATAAAAGTGTTTTATTGTCAGAGAATCAGGAAGTGTGCTGTTATATTACTAGTCCTTCAGCCATTACTTACTTGAGGAGTAACTTTGGACCAGTTTGTAGAGTGTTTGTCCACTGACCCAAAAGTTGGCAGTTTGAATCCTGCTCTCAACGTAAAACATCACTGGCTGAGCCTCAGTGTCTATGTACACTGGTGTATGAATGTGTGAGTGTTTTTTTTATATGTAAAGATCTATGAGTGCTTTGAAGAGGAAAAGTGATGTATACAAAATGTGACGTTTACCAACTGGTTTTGTTTTGGTTTTGAGGACAATCAGGTACAGCGCCCTTAATGCCATACTGGAGAACTTTCCAGTCAAGCAGTGTAAGCAGAAGGTGTGGGGAGAGTGCCCTCAACAGAAAAATTCCACACTGTGTCTTTAAGTTCATGATACTTACAGAGTCACAAATGGCCTGCACCTCTGGATCTGCAGGTTGGGACTCTCCAATGCCTCCGACGATGAGCTCCTGTGGAGGAAAACGCTCTATGTCTCTGATTTCCTGCTGCAAGTCGGAGATCTGGTCATCTGTGAAATCCTTAACCCCACGGAGGTCGGGCCGACTGTTGGGGTCAGGCTCTACATACAAAAAACAGCTCCAGATGTTTGTTGCCACCAACATGGACCTAAAGAAGCAGAAGATTCAACGAGGAACAAAAAAGTGGTGACATTATTCACAGTTGAATTTGAAATCATCTATGGTTATAACTGTGACAGAAAGAGTACGAGGGAGGCTGAGGTAAGAAGCTAGACTAAACTAGTGTTAGTGGTGACTGTCAGTTAGATAAGACACTGGTAATTCTATTTATGATTGATTTTTACTACATCATTTATATATCTGATAAAATATGTAGTTGAACATGTGTTTTTGAAAGGTAATTGTATCTTGTGTGATGAATAAGGAACAATAAAAAAGCGAGAAAGTTTCTGGTTGGACTCAGAAGTGACACCAAATTCTAGAATATGAACGCACCTTATTGATACTTCACAGCAACATCACACTGGGGGTGGTCTACATGTATCTCTAATGGGGGGAATGTTTAGGAGTCACCATGGTGACACAATGCACACACACATTAACAAACACAGCCAAAAAATTTTTTAAATCATCTGAAAACTCCTGTGTGATCAATACGAGCGTTCATGGTCCTGTTTAGGAGTTTTATTATTTATTTTTTGCCATTTTGTAATTTCATATTCCTAATATGGAACTCGGCTCCAGATTCGCTCCTATGACTGCGAGCCTCAGTGAGCTTCATTTGACTGTAACCGAATGTTTTGTGTGACGTCACACTCTCTTAGTTCACTTCTTTCTACAGTCTGAGTCTGACGAAGCCTCATACAGAGCAGAGCCTACAGTTAGCATCACACCCTCAGGGAATGTTGACGACATCAGTGCATATGACAGGTTTTTCATGTTTTTCTAACATGGTTTTCTTTTTTTTCTGCTAACTTTGTTTTGCAAAAAAAACAACTGTAAAAAAGATTTTACTTTTAGGTATCTCCAGCTGAGGCATCATTTTAATGCAAATGTCAGACCCCAAAACCCAAAAAAAGAGCGATGCCTTGATTGGGCTTTTTTATAGACGTGTGTAAAGGAAAACTTACTAAAAAACATATCTCTCCTCCACATACCTTGTCCTACAGTCAAGAAAAACAAACTCTACCATATACATTGGTTAAATATATGTAAAACCATTTTAACAACCTCAAGCTCTGACTTATGGAGAGAGAGTTATGTGGAAAAACACCGTACTTCATTACCCCTTAGAATTAAAGAACCAAGACTAAGAATGCAGAACAAGGTAAATGTTGGAGAAATTGTGGACAATCATCAGTTGGACATTTTCATATATTCTGGCAATGTCCCAAGATCGCCCCCTATTGGACAGAAATTATTAAAACCATCAAGCTTATTACAGGATTGCAGCTAGAAGAAAGTTTTAACGTGTTTTATTTGGGAAACTTACCACCCGGGCTGAAAAAAGATACTACAAGCAGCCAGCAAGAAAGTGATCACACGAAAATGGCTCCAGGACAAACCTCCTACTGTTTCAGAATGGACTTATATAATCAACGTAATTCAGATTATGGAACGAACAACATTTTCTTTAAGACACTCCTCAGACAAAGGAGAACTATATTGGAAAATGTGGAAATCTTACAGTCAAAACAAAACTTAATGTAAAAAATGTTTTATACATCTTAGCAGATGTCACTAGCTATGTTATTTATATATATATATTTTTTTTTTTGTTTCCTTTTTTTCGGTCTTTGATTTATTTTGTTTCACAATACTATATATATAACATAAAATGACCTAATAAAACAAAGTTTAAAAAAATAAAACAATTGTAGAAACTGACCTTGACAAAGTAGTTGTATCCATATACAGTTTGTTTCTTGTAGGATATGGCTCTGAAAGTCTCATATTTCTCTCCTCTCTGCGCCTCCACTTCACTCTTCACCTAAACAACAGCACAAGATTCACTCCCACTCAAACACTTAAAGGTGTTTCATGGAACTTTACTAGTTTTTTTTTTTTTTTACTTAAGTTAATGCTTTTGCTGTGCCTGATTTTCATTTGAAACAGTTTGCAGTGATCCAAAGTTATTCCTCACTTACCTTCTGCATTCAGAGCACCCTAATTATTCATCATGATGAGTTTATACGAGGTTGCCTCTCTACAGATCTGACCTGATGTGTCAACAGAAAAGTTCCACAGTGTAGCTTTAAGTTCATGATACTTACAGAGTCACACAGGGCCTGCACCTCTGGGTCTGCAGGTTGGGACTTTCCGATGCCTCCAGTCATGAGCTCAGGCTCAGGATATTCAGGCATCATTATTTCCTGTCTTGGGGGAAAGTAACATATGAACGGCTCTATAAATCCGCCTTCCTGCTCCAAGTCGTCTTTGGACTCATGAACACTTTGGAGGACTGGCCCACTGTTGGTGTGAGGCAGCCCCACAAACACAACCAGCTCCAGATGTTTGTTCTGCCCAATGTGGACCTAAAGAAGCAGAAAAATCAAGGAGGATCAGAGAGTGGCAGTTCAGCTCATCTTCCAATTCTTATTAAACTTTCATGTTATAACCATAGATCTGTGCTTATAAACTTGTTGGCTTTAAACAACTGCAATCTGTTTTTAACATGACACATGCTGTCGCTTAAAAAAGAGAGGAAATTGTAAACATCATTGTTTTCAACCAACTGATGAACCAGGAAGTGACATGACACTGAACAACTCTATAGGAGCTTAAAGTCTAATCATGACTTTGTTTGCTGGGGTAGTACCTGTGCTAATTACACATGAGGGTGATAGTTCTAATCTTTAGGATTCTTATTGTCAAACATCATCAGAATATTGTCTTTGGGTTAATAAAAAATAAAATAATTGTAGGAACTGACCTTGACAAAGTAGTTATATCCAGCTACAGTTTGTGTCCTGTAGGATATGGCTTCAAAAGTCTCATATTTCTCTCCTCTCTTCTCCTCCACATCTCTCTTCACCTGAACAACAGCACAAGATTCACTCATAACACAGAGGGTCATTTTTATGACATTTGCTTGTCTCCATGGATGGTCTGCATCGGATTATAAAGTGCTTCACTGTCAGAGAATCAGGAAGTGTGCCGTTATATTGCTAGTGCTTGAGGCATTACTGTGGTGGCAAAATTCTCCTTTGGTGTCTAAAAGTTGTGAAAATCACTTATAAATTCATCGTGGTGAATAATGAGGCTCAGAATACTTAAGATAAGTGATGAGTAACTTTGGACCACTTTAAAATAAACTGGTTCTGTTTTGGTTTTGAGGACAATCAGCGCCTTTAATGAAATACTGGGAACTTTCCAGTCAAGCAATGTAGACAGAAGATGTGGGGAGCGTGCCTTCAGCAGAAAAGTTCCAGGGTGGCTTTAAGTGTGTGATACTTACAGAGTCACAGATGGCCTGCACTCCTGGATCTGCAGGTTGGGACTCTCCGATGCCTCCGACGATGAGCTCCTGTGGAGGAAAAGACTCCATGTCCCTGATTTCCTGCTGCAAGTCGGAGATCTGGTCATCTGTGAAATCCTTAACCCCACGGAGGACGGGCCGACTGTTGGGGTCAGGCTCTACATACAAAAACAGCTCCAGATGTTTGTCCTCTCCAACATGGACCTAAAGAAGCAGAAGATTCAAGGAGGAACAAAAAGTGGTGACATTATTCACAGTTGAATTTGAAATCATCTATGGTTATAACTGTGAGAGAAAGAGTACGAGGGAGGCTGAGGTAAAAATCTAGACTAAGATAGAGTTGGTGACTGTCAGTTAGATATGGCCTACACACTGGTAATTCTATTTATGATTGATTATTACTACATCATTTATATATCTGATAAAATTTGTAGTTGAACATGTGTTTTTGAAAGGTAATTGTATCTTGTGTGATGAATAAGGAACAATAATAAAGCTAGAAAGTTTCTGGTTGGACTCAGAAGTGACACCAAATTCTAGAATATGAACGCACCTTATTGATACTTCACAGCAACATCACACTGGGGGTGTTCTACATGTATCTCTAATGGGGGAGTGTTTAGGAGTCACCATGGTGACACAATGCACACATTAACAAACACAGCCAAAAAACATTTTTAAATCATCTGAAAACTCCTGTGATCAATACGAGCGTTCATGGTCCTGTTTAGGAGTTTTATTATTTATTTTTTGCCATTTTGTAATTTCATATTCCTAATATTGAACTCGGCTCCAGATTCGCTCCTATGACTGCGAGCCTCAGTGAGCTTCATTTGACTGTAACCGAATGTTTTGGGTGACGTCACACTCTCTTAGTTCACTTCTTTCTACAGTCTGAGTCTGACGAAGCCTCATACAGAGCAGAGCCTACAGTTAGCATCACACCCTCAGGGAATGTTGACGACATCAGTGCATATGACAGGTTTTCATGTTTTTCTAATCATGACTTTGTTTGCTGCTTAAGTCAAAAATAAAACAATTGTAGAAACTGACCTTGACAAAGTAGTTGTATCCATATACAGTTTGTTTCTTGTAGGATATGGCTTTGAAAGTCTCATATTTCTCTCCTCTCTGCGCCTCCACTTCACTCTTCACCTGAACAACAGCACAAGATTCACTCCCACTCAAACACTTAAAGGTGCTTCATGGAATGATTTTTAAAAATGTTTTAAAGTTAAGTTAAGTTAATGCTTTTTGTGGTGCCTGATTTTCATTTTAAACACAGTTAATGTGTAACATGACAATTCAGGCTGATAAACAACTAAGGAATATGTGTCTTTACTAAACTCTTCTGAAATTTCAGAATCACTGTCCAGATAAACAGAAGAACTACTGCCAGCTGCAGATTCATCATCTACTGAAGGATCGTCCAAGGTCTCAGGAAGAATGGCATGAGAACTTAACAAAGAACTCTTCAAAGGTTGATCAGGATGTTGCTCATGGAAGGAGAACGTCCAGAATAAAGCTAGCAGGCACCCACGACCACTCCTCTGGACCATACTCTTCCCAATCATCCAAGTACTAGAGCCCCTCACCAAACTGCCTGAAACGCAGTAGTTGTCTCACAGTGTATGCTGGTTCCCCATTGACCAGACAAGTAGGCGGAGGTAGAGGTATGTGAGGGGCAAGAGGGCTGTTTCGGACTGGTTTCTGCTTGGAGAAATGAAAGGTGGGATTGATTTGCATGGCTCTTCGCAACCTGAGATGTACAGCCACTGGATCTTCTCAATTTCAAAAGGGTTGATAAACTTCGGCGCTCGAGCTAGAATCCATCCTCAATAGAAGATCTTTAGTGGAGAGCCAAACCATGTGACCAGCCTGATATGCAGGAGCCTCAGAATGGTGATGGTTTGCTGAAACAACATTGAAAGTAACATTGTGGAGAGCTGAGCAGGGTGGTCTGGGCCTATTTCCAGGCTCTGTAGCAGTGTTTATTAAAAGGCTGATGGACAAAAAATGTCCCATACTCGTAATGATGGGGGCATGTTAAAGGCATTCTTCCATTCTTCCCCTTCATGGATCCTGACAAGATGGCAAGTGTTGCATACATCAAGTTTAGTGAAATGACCACATCCTGCAGGAGTTCAAAAGTTGATAAGATAAGTGGCAAAGGGTATTGGTTCTCACTAGTAAGACAAATGTCAAAGCCTGAAGGCATAGAAGATAGAGTCATCAGTATTCCCCTTCCAAATGATGAGCCTGTCCCTTTCATTAGGCATTTGGAAACAAAATGACCATGTTTTACACAGTACAAACAAAGATTACCCTGTCAGCACCATTCTTTCTCTTCAGGAGAAAGACTGGTTCTGCCTAACTGCATGGGGTCAGGGCCTTCATCATAAGGAGCTGGGGTGTGACTGACTGACCCAACGGTGTGGACCAGGATAGAACCAGTAAGTTTCAGCTTTATCTCTTTTGCAAAGCTTGGATCCAGCAATCCAGGTTGGTAGGCAGCTCAATCAAACTATCAAGATCAGAGGGGAGATCATATGAGACCAGCTCACCCAAGAGACAGGCATCAGTTTCAGCTGCAACTTTCCACTGACTTGGAAGGGCCTGAGAACGAAATTCAATCACAACCCCATTAGACCACCAGCTGCATCGGGTCTACATGATGTGGCTCTGAACACCTTGCGAAGAAAGTGTAGTGTGCGTGAGTGTTGGTGGTGGTTGGAGGGGCTGATGGCGCAGATTCCTTCAGTCTGCCCCAGTGCAGCTGTGGCTACAGTAGTAGCTTGCCACTTCTGAGTGTGGAGTTAATGAATAATGGACTGCAAAACACTTTGTGTGTCATGAAAGTCATGTAAAAGTGTCATGTAAATGCAATGACTAATTAAGTAATTAAACTCCCAAAAGTGTCAAAAGAGGCACAAGCCGGCAACTGCCACCTTGGCTTTCTCTGGAGAATGTGTGTGGTTGTAAGGCAAAGAGAATAGAGCAGTTCATCAAAAAATGGATTGCACTAATCAGGGTATCCCCCATTGCATTCTGGTATGCCCACTTGGGGTCTTCTAAAAAACAGGCCCAGGTCCAAGCATTTCAACAGAAGCTGGTGGTGCAGGATTGGTTGAAGTGGGAGTAACAGCAGTGACTAGCTGGATCTGAGCTGTTAAAGTAGTAATGTCTTGTTCAGTAGCCGCAGTTGAGTGCTGAGCTGCTATAGCAGCAGATGCTAGCTTGACTTATGTTCTAATCTGGAAAGCCACTCCATTAAGCTCTCAATGTGTGCTGAGTCCATACTGGCTGATAAACAACTAAGGAACTTATGGATTTATTATTTTAACTTAAATATCCTCCCAAACTGTGGAAATCTCTAACAGTAAATTACAGGTTTTTCTCTTGCTAAAACAATACCTCATTCTTACTGTGAATGAGGTTGCTTCTCCACAGATCTGACCTGATGTGTCACCAGAAAAGTTTACAGTGTAGCTTTAAATTCATGACACTTACAGAGTCACACAGGGCCTGCACCTCTGGGTCTGCAGGTTGAGACTCTCCGATGCCTCCTGTATGTTGAGGAGCCATAATTTCCGATCGGAATCCGTAAGAATATATGTCCGGCTCAGACATATATGTATATCTCATATATTCCTGGTCCAAGTGATAGATCTGGTCATCTGTGGACTCGTAAACACTACGGAGGACAGGGGGCCCCACAAACACAATCAGCTCCAGATGTTTGTTCTCCCCAATGTGGACCTAAAGAAGCAGAAGTTTAAGGAGGAGCAACAGCTGAAAATGGGTAATATCATAGTTAGTTTCATTCTAATGTTATTCAGGAAATGTCCATTTCTGATTTGATACATTGTGAGGAATCTACAGCTTTCACGAGCCATGCAGATCAGGTGACTACTTCGAGGCCAGGTCATGAGGATAAGAGCATGCCAAGCCTTAAAGGTCGTCATGACCTCTGTCTCATGTAGAAATAACTTTCAGATTCTCACAATCATGCCAAGCCTTAAAGGGCCCGTCTCATCTGCTTCTGACATAAACAAGCACTATTTGGGTTTTGGAACATCCATTACACAATAGTTCTGAAATCTTACTGATTTCTTGGAGTCAGTCACAGACCATCAACTATGAAAGTCCTGTTGTGGCAAAAAATTATATATCTGTCTTGAAGATAAATAATGAATCCATTTGCGAAGCCCGATGAGTTTTTGGAATATAGACCAAGGTTTATTCTTGTTACAGCAGATATGGACAGGGCCTAGGCCTGTTTCGGCCAAAGCCCAACAGCCTCTCACCCCTGTCTCCTCCCGTCTCTTCCCATCTCCCTCTCCAGAGCATTTGAGCTCTCAGTATTTATACAGAAATACATCCACAATCTAAATTTTCTATCACAGTCCGACTATTGCTCCTCCCCCACCCGTCCTGAGAAAGCACAGGCTCCGCCCTCCAAACGTGACATAGGCTCTGAGTGAGCCGCCCTTCCTCTGCCCATCTCAGGGAGGGAGGGGGAGACAGACGTGCACCCTGTGTACAGCCCTGCAGTCACGCCCCGTTTAGCGGTCTGATAGCGGTAGGAATAAACTTTTATTCATCATGGAGATACAAGGCGTTCAACCTTATGTTTTGGACCTGGAATCGGACGAGGACTTTGAGGCACAAGCACAACGTCGACATCAGCTGAACATTACTGATTGGTAAAGTATTAAAAAACACTAGTAGATAAACTATATTATATCGTGTACACTGCAGTGTAGAACAATGAGCTTATGCTCTCGCTTTTGTTTAAGTGTTCATCTTTATGACAGTTTAATTAATTGCTAATATGTTGAAATATTCTACTTATAAAGTTTTTTAAAACGAGTAAAAATTTTTCTTTAATGTATAGAAGGTATAATTGGGCAAACTTGAATCCTATAATCAAATGAGGAGGTCATAATGTGTACAGGCGACACTAAACATCAGTGGTCATAATGACTGGGGTGTGAGGTGTAATCACTATTTTGTTATCATGCAGAAGCGGTGAAGACAACTCACTAGAATAAGAAGTAGGCTATGTTGTTAGCATCAATGTAATATCGTAGGACGACGTAAAGTTTGTCAAACTAAAACAGGTAGAACAAGGGAGATGACATGCAGACTGAAATTATATGTCAGATCATCTTAAAAAAATAAACGCTGTTTTTAGTTCTCTTCAGCGGTTTACTAGCGGTAAACTTACAACTCTAGGATCGCCATCACAGGACCCTGGTATCGTGGGAACAGCATCCTTTTCCAAAGTGTCGCTTCTGCTTCGTTGTAAGTCCAGTTTTAAAATAACTGTAGTTCTGGAAGCAGTCTTAGGTGAAGTGTCGCCCGCAAACAAAAATATTCTTGGGGACCTTTTTGTCTGTGTTCCCAGAAATAAACTCCAGCCACGCCTTGCTTCTTCTGTCGGCATGACAAATAATTTTGACTTGCAATCGCAGCCAAATGCGCACGTTCTCCAAGTGGACATGGTTACAAAAAGCGTGTTTGAAGCGAAAAATAAAGATAAATAACGCAGAACAGCAGACCTGTACGGTGCAGACGCAGGACAGTGTGTGAGTGGGTGAAGGCGTGGTGAAGGCGTGGTGAAGGCGTGGTGAAGGCGTGGTGAAGGCGTGGTGAAGGCGTGGTGAAGGCGTGGTGAAGGCGTGGTGAAGGTGGTGAAGGCAGTGGAGCGGGGGAGAGGGGGCGGGTGTGAAGCGCTCTCTGCTACATCAAACGCGAGATAGCTGTAGCTGCCTACGCCATCACTGTAGTAGACTCATGTTAGTTGATATGTGGGAGGGTGACAGAAATATGATACAATTTGTAAAAAAAAAAGCTGAACCAATCTAAAAACCACTTTGGCAACATATACAAGCCCACACATCACTCTTAGAAGGTAGAAAGCTCTGAAAAGTTGATTTTGCATGACATGGGCCCTTTAATCGAAGCCGACTCACCTTGATATAGTAGTTATATCCTACAACTTGCTTCTTGTAGGTTTTTGCCTCGAAAATCTCATATTTCTCTCCTCTCTGCTCCTCCACATCACTCTTCACCTGAAAAAGAAAAAAAACAAGCAATAGCATTAAAGCTACAGTATGGAATTTTCTGGACGTGGCACGTCACCTGCATGCTTCCATGGAAATAGAAAGTTTGAGTTAGAGTTAATAACTATACGTTTTATGCCATATTGTGGAGGATTACAGACAGAGCAACAATATTTCCATGGAAATAGGAAGGAGGAAGTGCCAGGTTTGTGAAGGTGCAAGTCCACTCATAGACGCATGTTTTCTGTTTTTCAGTGCAATAAACACATAAAAAAAATAAAACTTTCATCGGTTTATTTTTTAATAATACTGTGGCTTTAAGATTCTTTTCACCGATACTACAGGCCGGTAAAAGTTCCATTTACAGGCCTCTGTAAATGGAACTTTTCTACCACCTGCTTTTCTCCACAGAGATGCTAATGATTTACCTTTAATGTTCCACACTATGATATTACACTTATTTTTCTCCTAGTCAGTATCCTGGGAGTATTTTTTTGCAATAAAACTTAAAGAAAACATAGATGAGCATTTGGTGGAGTCTCCCTTAAAGCCAATTTACGGTCCAGCGTCAAATCATCTGCTGCTCTACATACATTCCGTCTACTTCGCTTTCCTTTCTTTCAGTATACATTGAGAAATAATGTGTTTAATGCAGCTTTGTGCAAACAAACTAATGAGGCTGGCCTGGACAAAAATGATGGTACTCCTAGAAAAGACTGTAAGTAATTGGACAATAGGGACATGTTAAACTTAGGTGTGTCTCTAATCTGCATCACAGGTTCTTCAAACCTGTTTTTAGTCAGTCTGTCTGTTTAAAGTGGGACATGTGTCATTGTGCTGTTTGGAGATGATGGAGACAACACTGAACATGGACCAGAGAAAGAGAAGAAGAGAACTGTGTCAGGAGACTGGAAAGAAAATGACAGACAAGCAGGTTAAAGATAAAGACAATAAGACCATCTCCAAGCAGCGTGATGTTCCTGTGATTACAGTTACACATGTTCTTCAGAAGTTTAAGGTCCACAGGACTGAAGCCAACCTCCCTGGATGTGGCTGCAAGAGGAAAACTGATGACAAATTGAAGAGATGGATCATATGAATGGAACAAAAGAGCCCAGAACAACCTCCAAACAAATTAAATGTGAACTCGACGGGCAAAGTACATCAGTGTCAGATCTCAACATCCACCACGGTTTGAGCTAAAGTGGACTTCATGTGAGGACGCCACTGCTGAGAGAAAATCATAAAAAAGTGAGACTGGAATTTTCCATGATGCATATTGATAGCCATAAAGCTTCTGGGAAAATGTCCTTTGGATAGAAGAGACAAAACTGGAGCTCTTTGGCAAGACACATCAGCTCTATGTTCACAGACGCAAAAATGAAGCAGACCAAGAAAAGAAGATTGACCCTACTGTAAAGCACGGAGGAGACTTGGTTTTTATCCGGGGCTGTTTTGCTGCATCTGGCACAGGGTGTCTTGAATCTGTGCAAAATACAACTAAATCTCAAAAATATCAATATGTTTTGGAATGAAATGTGTTGCCTAGTGTCAGAAAGCTTGGTCTCAGTCATAGGTCATGGGACTTCCAACAGGACAATGACCCAAAACACACAGCTACAAACACCCAAGACTGACTAAGAACAGAACATTGGAATGTTCTGGAGTGTTCTTCTGTGAGCCCAGATCTCAGTCCTATTGAACATCTGTGAAATGAGCTGAAACATGCGTCTGGAGAAGGAACCCTTCAAACCTGAGACAACTCAAGCAGTTTGCTCGTGAGAAAAGGGTCAAAATACCACTTTACCAGTGCAGAAGTGTCACTGACAGTTGTCCAGGCCAGTTTCATTATTTATTTATTTATTTTAAATTCTGTTTAACCACAGGTGAAAAACAATGTTTGATTTTCATTGGGCAATTTTCAGTAAATTATTATTTTTTTTTTAACTTTATTTATTTCAGACAGGGACAGCACACAATTCTTGCATTTTACCTTAACAGGAGAGATGCACTGTACATCAGGTTGTAGCGTCAGTGCTAATTTCCACCTGTAGTGGTTCACTGATTGATTGTATTTAACTGACCTTGACTATCAACTGTTCATGGAGACCTGTAGCATGTTTTGGGTTGATGGGGGAAACTGGAATGCCCGGAGGAAACCCATCCAGACACGGGGAGAAACATGCAAACTCCACACAGAAAGGCCCGGGTGACCCGGGGATCAAACCCAGAACCTTCTTGCTGTGAGGCATCAGTGCTAGCCACTCAGCCACCGTGCCGCCATTATTGCTTTTATCAGTTTCAAGTTATTTCAGTGATGATGATTGTCGATTTTTCTTTCATTGCCAGAGGGGTACCAACAATTTTGCCCATGACTGTATATCCTAGCCCCCTAGCGTTTTGGCAGTGAAAAGCTTGGCAGTGCATAGACCTCAATGTAGATCCATAAATCAAAAACGACGGCGACAAGGTGACGGCGGCAGTGTGCATTGAGTCAAAGCAGAACTATACTTTGCCCTTTATCAGAAAAGTTCCACAGTGTAGCATTAATTTCATGATACTTACAGAGTCACAGATGGCCTGCACCTCTGGGTTTGCAGGTTGGGAAGCTCCGATGCCTCCAGACAATATCACTGGTTTATCCTCAGGTGACATAATTTCTGGTGATTGGAATCCGTAATCACATATGAATGGCTTCTTTCTAAATCTCACACCTCCACTTTCCTGCTCCAAGTGATAGATCTGGTCATCTGTGGACTCGTGAACACTTTGGAGGACTGGTCCACTGTTAGTGTCAGGCGGCCCCAACAAACACAATCAGCTCCAGATGTTTGTTCTCCCCAATGTGGACCTAAAGAAGCAGAAGTTTAAGGAGGAGCAACAGCTGAAAATGGGTAATATCATAGTTAGTTTCATTCTAATGTTATTCAGGAAATGTCCATTTCTGATTTGTGAAGGTACATTCTCATATTTGTGAGTTCACAACCTCACAAGAATCTACCTTAGAGTGGGCCCAAGTACGATTAATTGGATAGGCGACCAATTACGTCGCAGCATTGATGGCTATGCAGAAGCCAAGCAAATCAAAACAAACATGGTGACGCCCACAGACATACTTCAGACTGTTTTAGCATCAGTACAGAATATTTAGCATATAACGTGCAGAAGGTAAGAGCTTTGTGCATTTGAGGATAGGGAAGATGTCTGTGCTTTTCTCTCAGATGGATTTAAATAAAGTTTGTTTTTTTGGCTTGTTCCACTGCTGTGACTCTTCGACCAATCAGATTCAAACAGTCGTCATGACGCTCTGTGTTTCCTGAGCTCTTACAGTGAGAGTCGTTCAGACTGATCATGTGGAGACTCACTTCAGACACAGATCAGTCTGGGCCAGGTCAATCATGCCAAGGCTTAAAGGGCCCGTCTCATGTAAAATAACTTTTTTCACATTGTATCTTCTGCACATAAACAAGCACTATTTGGGTTTTGGAACATCCATTACACAATAGTTCTGAAATCTTACTGATTTCTTGGAGTCAGTCACAGACCATCAACTATGAAAGTCCTGTTGTGGCAAAAAATTATATATCTGTCTTGAAGATAAATAATGAATCCATTTGCGAAGCCCGATGAGTTTTTGGAATATAGACCAAGGTTTATTCTTGTTACAGCAGATATGGACAGGGCCTAGGCCTGTTTCGGCCAAAGCCCAACAGCCTCTCACCCCTGTCTCCTCCCGTCTCTTCCCATCTCCCTCTCCAGAGCATTTGAGCTCTCAGTATTTATACAGAAATACATCCACAATCTAAATTTCTATCACAGTCCGACTATTGCTCCTCCCCCCACCCGTCCTGAGAAAGCACAGGCTCCGCCCTCCAAACGTGACATAGGCTCTGAGTGAGCCGCCCTTCCTCTGCCCACCTCAGGGAGGGAGGGGGAGACAGACGTGCACCCTGTGTACAGCCCTGCAGTCACGCCCCGTTTAGCGGTCTGATAGCGGTAGGAATAAACTTTTATTCATCATGGCGATACAACGGCGTTCAACCTTATGTTTTGGACCTGGAATCGGACGAGGACTTTGAGGCACAAGCACAACGTCGACATCAGCTGAACATTACTGATTGGTAAAGTATTAAAAAACACTAGTAGATAAACTTATTATATCGTGTACACTGCAGTGTAGAACAATGAGCTTATGCTCTCGCTTTTGTTTAAGTGTTCATCTTTATGACAGTTTAATTAATTGCTAATATGTTGAAATATTCTACTTATAAAGTTTTTTAAACGAGTAAAAATTTTTCTTTAATGTATAGAAGGTATAATTGGGCAAACTTGAATCCTATAATCAAATGAGGAGGTCATAATGTGTACAGGCGACACTAAACATCAGTGGTCATAATGACTGGGGTGTGAGGTGTAATCACTATTTTGTTATCATGCAGAAGCGGTGAAGACAACTCACTAGAATAAGAAGTAGGCTATGTTGTTAGCATCAATGTAATATCGTAGGACGACGTAAAGTTTGTCAAACTAAAACAGGTAGAACAAGGGAGATGACATGCAGACTGAAATTATATGTCAGATCATCTTAAAAAAAATAAACGCTGTTTTTAGTTCTCTTCAGCGGTTTACTAGCGGTAAACTTACAACTCTAGGATCGCCATCACAGGACCCTGGTATCGTGGGAACAGCATCCTTTTCCAAAGTGTCGCTTCTGCTTCGTTGTAAGTCCAGTTTTAAAATAACTGTAGTTCTGGAAGCAGTCTTAGGTGAAGTGTCGCCCGCAAACAAAAATATTCTTGGGGACCTTTTTGTCTGTGTTCCCAGAAATAAACTCCAGCCACGCCTTGCTTCTTCTGTCGGCATGACAAATAATTTTGACTTGCAATCGCAGCCAAATACGCACGTTCTCCAAGCGGACATGGTTACAAAAAGCGCGTTTGAAGCGAAAAATAAAGATAAATAACGCAGAACAGCAGACCTGTACGGTGCAGACGCAGGACAGTGTGTGAGTGGGTGAAGGCGTGGTGAAGGCGTGGTGAAGGCGTGGTGAAGGCGTGAAGGCGTGAAGGCGTGGTGAAGGCGTGGTGAAGGCGTGGTGAAGGCGTGGTGAAGGTGGTGAAGGCAGTGGAGCGGGGGAGAGGGGGCGGGTGTGAAGCGCTCTCTGCTACATCAAACGCGAGATAGCTGTAGCTGCCTACGCCATCACTGTAGTAGACTCATGTTAGTTGTTATGTGGGAGGGTGACAGAAATATGCTACAATTTGTAAAAAAAAAAGCTGAACCAATCTAAAAACCACTTTGGCAACATATACAAGCCCACACATCACTCTTAGAAGGTAGAAAGCTCTGAAAAGTTGATTTTGCATGACATGGGCCCTTTAATCGAAGCCGACTCACCTTGATATAGTAGTTATATCCTACAACTTGCTTCTTGTAGGTTTTTGCCTCGAAAATCTCATATTTCTCTCCTCTCTGCTCCTCCACATCACTCTTCACCTGAAAAAGAAAAAAACAAGCAATAGCATTAAAGCTACAGTATGGAATTTTCTGGACGTGGCACGTCACCTGCATGCTTCCATGGAAATAGAAAGTTTGAGTTAGAGTTAATAACTATACGTTTTATGCCATATTGTGGAGGATTACAGACAGAGCAACAATATTTCCATGGAAATAGGAAGGAGGAAGTGCCAGGTTTGTGAAGGTGCAAGTCCACTCATAGACGCATGTTTTCTGTTTTTCAGTGCAATAAACACATAAAAAAAAAACTTTCATCGGTTTATTTTTTAATAATAATGTGGCTTTAAGATTCTTTTCACCGATACTACAGGCCGGTAAAAGTTCCATTTACAGGCCTCTGTAAATGGAACTTTTCTACCACCTGCTTTTCTCCACAGAGATGCTAATGATTTACCTTTAATGTTCCACACTATGATATTACACTTATTTTTCTCCTAGTCAGTATCCTGGGAGTATTTTTTTGCAATAAAACTTAAAGAAAACATAGATGAGCATTTGGTGGAGTCTCCCTTAAAGCCAATTTACGGTCCAGCGTCAAATCATCTGCTGCTCTACATACATTCCGTCTACTTCGCTTTCCTTTCTTTCAGTATACATTGAGAAATAATGTGTTTAATGCAGCTTTGTGCAAACAAACTAATGAGGCTGGCCTGGACAAAAATGATGGTACTCCTAGAAAAGACTGTAAGTAATTGGACAATAGGGACATGTTAAACTTAGGTGTGTCTCTAATCTGCATCACAGGTTCTTCAAACCTGTTTTTAGTCAGTCTGTCTGTTTAAAGTGGGACATGTGTCATTGTGCTGTTTGGAGATGATGGAGACAACACTGAACATGGACCAGAGAAAGAGAAGAAGAGAACTGTGTCAGGAGACTGGAAAGAAAATGACAGACAAGCAGGTTAAAGATAAAGACAATAAGACCATCTCCAAGCAGCGTGATGTTCCTGTGATTACAGTTACACATGTTCTTCAGAAGTTTAAGGTCCACAGGACTGAAGCCAACCTCCCTGGATGTGGCTGCAAGAGGAAAACTGATGACAAATTGAAGAGATGGATCATATGAATGGAACAAAAGAGCCCAGAACAACCTCCAAACAAATTAAATGTGAACTCGACGGGCAAAGTACATCAGTGTCAGATCTCAACATCCACCACGGTTTGAGCTAAAGTGGACTTCATGTGAGGACGCCACTGCTGAGAGAAAATCATAAAAAAGTGAGACTGGAATTTTCCATGATGCATATTGATAGCCATAAAGCTTCTGGGAAAATGTCCTTTGGATAGAAGAGACAAAACTGGAGCTCTTTGGCAAGACACATCAGCTCTATGTTCACAGACGCAAAATGAAGCAGACCAAGAAAAGAAGATTGACCCTACTGTAAAGCACGGAGGAGACTTGGTTTTTATCCGGGGCTGTTTTGCTGCATCTGACACAGGGTGTCTTGAATCTGTGCAAAATACAACTAAATCTCAAAAATATCAATATGTTTTGGAATGAAATGTGTTGCCTAGTGTCAGAAAGCTTGGTCTCAGTCATAGGTCATGGGACTTCCAACAGGACAATGACCCAAAACACACAGCTACAAACACCCAAGACTGACTAAGAACAGAACATTGGAATGTTCTGGAGTGTTCTTCTGTGAGCCCAGATCTCAGTCCTATTGAACATCTGTGAAATGAGCTGAAACATGCGTCTGGAGAAGGAACCCTTCAAACCTGAGACAACTCAAGCAGTTTGCTCGTGAGAAAAGGGTCAAAATATCACTTTACCAGTGCAGAAGTGTCACTGACAGTTGTCCAGGCCAGTTTCATTATTTATTTATTTATTTTAAATTCTGTTTAACCACAGGTGAAAAACAATGTTTGATTTTCATTGGGCAATTTTCAGTAAATTATTATTATTTTTTTTTAACTTTATTTATTTCAGACAGGGACAGCACACAATTCTTGCATTTTACCTTAACAGGAGAGATGCACTGTACATCAGGTTGTAGCGTCAGTGCTAATTTCCACCTGTAGTGGTTCATTGATTGATTGTATTTAACTGACCTTGACGATCAACTGTTCATGGAGACCTGTAGCATGTTTTGGGTTGATGGGGGAAACTGGAATGCCCGGAGGAAACCCATCCAGACACGGGGAGAAACATGCAAACTCCACACAGAAAGGCCCGGGTGACCCGGGGATCAAACCCAGAACCTTCTTGCTGTGAGGCATCAGTGCTAGCCACTCAGCCACCGTGCCGCCATTATTGCTTTTATCAGTTTCAAGTTATTTCAGTGATGATTGTCGATTTTTCTTTCATTGCCAGAGGGTACCAACAATTTTGCCCATGACTGTACATCCTAGCCCCCTAGCGTTTTGGCAGTGAAAAGCTTGGCAGTGCATAGACCTCAATGTAGATCCATAAATCAAAAACGACGGCGACAAGGTGACGGCGGCAGTGTGCATTGAGTCAAAGCAGAACTATACTTTGCCCTTTATCAGAAAAGTTCCACAGTGTAGCATTAATTTCATGATACTTACAGAGTCACAGATGGCCTGCACCTCTGGGTTTGCAGGTTGGGAAGCTCCGATGCCTCCAGACAATATCACTGGTTTATCCTCAGGTGACATAATTTCTGGTGATTGGAATCCGTAATCACATATGAATGGCTGTTGGTTTCTAAATCTCACACCTCCACTTTCCTGCTCCAAGTCAGAGATCTGGTCATCTGTGGACTCGTGAACACTTTGGAGGACTGGTCCACTGTTAGGTGTGAGGCAGCCCCACAAACACAATCCAGCTCCAGATGTTTTGTTCTCCCCAACGTGGACCTAAAGAAGCAGAAATTAAGAGGANTATTTATTTATTTATTTTAAATTCTGTTTAACCACAGGTGAAAAACAATGTTTGATTTTCATTGGGCAATTTTCAGTAAATTATTATTTTTATTTATTTTTAACTTTATTTATTTCAGACAGGGACAGCACACAATTCTTGCATTTTACCTTAACAGGAGAGATGCACTGTACATCAGGTTGTAGCGTCAGTGCTAATTTCCACCTGTAGTGGTTCATTGATTGATTGTATTTAACTGACCTTGACGATCAACTGTTCATGGAGACCTGTAGCATGTTTTGGGTTGATGGGGGAAACTGGAATGCCCGGAGGAAACCCATCCAGACACGGGGAGAAACATGCAAACTCCACACAGAAAGGCCCGGGTGACCCGGGGATCAAACCCAGAACCTTCTTGCTGTGAGGCATCAGTGCTAGCCACTCAGCCACCGTGCCGCCATTATTGCTTTTATCAGTTTCAAGTTATTTCAGTGATGATTGTCGATTTTTCTTTCATTGCCAGAGGGGTACCAACAATTTTGCCCATGACTGTACATCCTAGCCCCCTAGCGTTTTGGCAGTGAAAAGCTTGGCAGTGCATAGACCTCAATGTAGATCCATAAATCAAAAACGACGGCGACAAGGTGACGGCGGCAGTGTGCATTGAGTCAAAGCAGAACTATACTTTGCCCTTTATCAGAAAAGTTCCACAGTGTAGCATTAATTTCATGATACTTACAGAGTCACAGATGGCCTGCACCTCTGGGTTTGCAGGTTGGGAAGCTCCGATGCCTCCAGACAATATCACTGGTTTATCCTCAGGTGACATAATTTCTGGTGATTGGAATCCGTAATCACATATGAATGGCTTGTTTCTAAATCTCACACCTCCACTTTCCTGCTCCAAGTGATAGATCTGGTCATCTGTGGACTCGTGAACACTTTGGAGGACTGGTCCACTGTTAGTGTCAGGCGGCCCCACAAACACAATCAGCTCCAGATGTTTGTTCTCCCCAATGTGGACCTAAAGAAGCAGAAGTTTAAGGAGGAGCAACAGCTGAAAATGGGTAATATCATAGTTAGTTTCATTCTAATGTTATTCAGGAAATGTCCATTTCTGATTTGTGAAGGTACATTCTCATATTTGTGAGTTCACAACCTCACAAGAATCTACCTTAGAGTGGGCCCAAGTACGATTAATTGGATAGGCGACCAATCACGTCGCAGCATTGATGGCTATGCAGAAGCCAAGCAAATCAAAACAAACATGGTGACGCCCACAGACATACTTCAGACTGTTTTAGCATCAGTACAGAATATTTAGCATATAACGTGCAGAAGGTAAGAGCTTTGTGCATTTGAGGACAGAGAAGATGTCTGTGCTTTTCTCTCAGATGGATTTAAATAAAGTTTGTTTTTTGGCTTGTTCCACTGCTGTGACTCTTCGACCAATCAGATTCAAACAGTCGTCATGACGCTCTGTGTTTCCTGAGCTCTTACAGTGAGAGTCGTTCAGACTGATCATGTGGAGACTCACTTCAGACACAGATCAGTCTGGGCCAGGTCAATCATGCCAAGCCTTAAAGGGCCCGTCTCATGTAAAATAACTTTTTTCACATTGTATCTTCTGCACATAAACAAGCACTATTTGGGTTTTGGAACATCCATTACACAATAGTTCTGAAATCTTACTGATTTCTTGGAGTCAGTCACAGACCATCAACTATGAAAGTCCTGTTGTGGCAAAAAATTATATATCTGTCTTGAAGATAAATAATGAATCCATTTGCGAAGCCCGATGAGTTTTTGGAATATAGACCAAGGTTTATTCTTGTTACAGCAGATATGGACAGGGCCTAGGCCTGTTTCGGCCAAAGCCCAACAGCCTCTCACCCCTGTCTCCTCCCGTCTCTTCCCATCTCCCTCTCCAGAGCATTTGAGCTCTCAGTATTTATACAGAAATACATCCACAATCTAAATTTCTATCACAGTCCGACTATTGCTCCTCCCCCCACCCGTCCTGAGAAAGCACAGGCTCCGCCCTCCAAACGTGACATAGGCTCTGAGTGAGCCGCCCTTCCTCTGCCCACCTCAGGGAGGGAGGGGGAGACAGACGTGCACCCTGTGTACAGCCCTGCAGTCACGCCCCGTTTAGCGGTCTGATAGCGGTAGGAATAAACTTTTATTCATCATGGCGATACAACGCGTTCAACCTTATGTTTTGGACCTGGAATCGGACGAGGACTTTGAGGCACAAGCACAACGTCGACATCAGCTGAACATTACTGATTGGTAAAGTATTAAAAAACACTAGTAGATAAACTTATTATATCGTGTACACTGCAGTGTAGAACAATGAGCTTATGCTCTCGCTTTTGTTTAAGTGTTCATCTTTATGACAGTTTAATTAATTGCTAATATGTTGAAATATTCTACTTATAAAGTTTTTTAAACGAGTAAAAATTTTTCTTTAATGTATAGAAGGTATAATTGGGCAAACTTGAATCCTATAATCAAATGAGGAGGTCATAATGTGTACAGGCGACACTAAACATCAGTGGTCATAATGACTGGGGTGTGAGGTGTAATCACTATTTTGTTATCATGCAGAAGCAGTGAAGACAACTCACTAGAATAAGAAGTAGGCTATGTTGTTAGCATCAATGTAATATCGTAGGACGACGTAAAGTTTGTCAAACTAAAACAGGTAGAACAAGGGAGATGACATGCAGACTGAAATTATATGTCAGATCATCTTAAAAAATAAACGCTGTTTTTAGTTCTCTTCAGCGGTTTACTAGCGGTAAACTTACAACTCTAGGATCGCCATCACAGGACCCTGGTATCGTGGGAACAGCATCCTTTTCCAAAGTGTCGCTTCTGCTTCGTTGTAAGTCCAGTTTTAAAATAACTGTAGTTCTGGAAGCAGTCTTAGGTGAAGTGTCGCCCGCAAACAAAAATATTCTTGGGGACCTTTTTGTCTGTGTTCCCAGAAATAAACTCCAGCCACGCCTTGCTTCTTCTGTCGGCATGACAAATAATTTTGACTTGCAATCGCAGCCAAATACGCACGTTCTCCAAGCGGACATGGTTACAAAAAGCGCGTTTGAAGCGAAAAATAAAGATAAATAACGCAGAACAGCAGACCTGTACGGTGCAGACGCAGGACAGTGTGTGAGTGGGTGAAGGCGTGGTGAAGGCGTGGTGAAGGCGTGGTGAAGGCGTGGTGAAGGCGTGGTGAAGGCGTGGTGAAGGCGTGGTGAAGGTGGTGAAGGCAGTGGAGCGGGGGAGAGGGGGCGGGTGTGAAGCGCTCTCTGCTACATCAAACGCGAGATAGCTGTAGCTGCCTACGCCATCACTGTAGTAGACTCATGTTAGTTGTTATGTGGGAGGGTGACAGAAATATGCTACAATTTGTAAAAAAAAAAGCTGAACCAATCTAAAAACCACTTTGGCAACATATACAAGCCCACACATCACTCTTAGAAGGTAGAAAGCTCTGAAAAGTTGATTTTGCATGACATGGGCCCTTTAATCGAAGCCGACTCACCTTGATATAGTAGTTATATCCTACAACTTGCTTCTTGTAGGTTTTTGCCTCGAAAATCTCATATTTTCTCTCCTCTCTGCTCCTCCACATCACTCTTCACCTGAAAAAGAAAAAAACAAGCAATAGCATTAAAGCTACAGTATGGAATTTTCTGGACGTGGCACGTCACCTGCATGCTTCCATGGAAATAGAAAGTTTGAGTTAGAGTTAATAACTATACGTTTTATGCCATATTGTGGAGGATTACAGACAGAGCAACAATATTTCCATGGAAATAGGAAGGAGGAAGTGCCAGGTTTGTGAAGGTGCAAGTCCACTCATAGACGCATGTTTTCTGTTTTTCAGTGCAATAAACACATTAAAAAAAAAACTTTCATCGGTTTATTTTTTAATAATAATGTGGCTTTAAGATTCTTTTCACCGATACTACAGGCCGGTAAAAGTTCCATTTACAGGCCTCTGTAAATGGAACTTTTCTACCACCTGCTTTTCTCCACAGAGATGCTAATGATTTACCTTTAATGTTCCACACTATGATATTACACTTATTTTTCTCCTAGTCAGTATCCTGGGAGTATTTTTTTGCAATAAAACTTAAAGAAAACATAGATGAGCATTTGGTGGAGTCTCCCTTAAAGCCAATTTACGGTCCAGCGTCAAATCATCTGCTGCTCTACATACATTCCGTCTACTTCGCTTTCCTTTCTTTCAGTATACATTGAGAAATAATGTGTTTAATGCAGCTTTGTGCAAACAAACTAATGAGGCTGGCCTGGACAAAAATGATGGTACTCCTAGAAAAGACTGTAAGTAATTGGACAATAGGGACATGTTAAACTTAGGTGTGTCTCTAATCTGCATCACAGGTTCTTCAAACCTGTTTTTAGTCAGTCTGTCTGTTTAAAGTGGGACATGTGTCATTGTGCTGTTTGGAGATGATGGAGACAACACTGAACATGGACCAGAGAAAGAGAAGAAGAGAACTGTGTCAGGAGACTGGAAAGAAAATGACAGACAAGCAGGTTAAAGATAAAGACAATAAGACCATCTCCAAGCAGCGTGATGTTCCTGTGATTACAGTTACACATGTTCTTCAGAAGTTTAAGGTCCACAGGACTGAAGCCAACCTCCCTGGATGTGGCTGCAAGAGGAAAACTGATGACAAATTGAAGAGATGGATCATATGAATGGAACAAAAGAGCCCAGAACAACCTCCAAACAAATTAAATGTGAACTCGACGGGCAAAGTACATCAGTGTCAGATCTCAACATCCACCACGGTTTGAGCTAAAGTGGACTTCATGTGAGGACGCCACTGCTGAGAGAAAATCATAAAAAAGTGAGACTGGAATTTTCCATGATGCATATTGATAGCCATAAAGCTTCTGGGAAAATGTCCTTTGGATAGAAGAGACAAAACTGGAGCTCTTTGGCAAGACACATCAGCTCTATGTTCACAGACGCAAAAATGAAGCAGACCAAGAAAAGAAGATTGACCCTACTGTAAAGCACGGAGGAGACTTGGTTTTTTTATCCGGGGCTGTTTTGCTGCATCTGGCACAGGGTGTCTTGAATCTGTGCAAAATACAACTAAATCTCAAAAATATCAATATGTTTTGGAATGAAATGTGTTGCCTAGTGTCAGAAAGCTTGGTCTCAGTCATAGGTCATGGGACTTCCAACAGGACAATGACCCAAAACACACAGCTACAAACACCCAAGACTGACTAAGAACAGAACATTGGAATGTTCTGGAGTGTTCTTCTGTGAGCCCAGATCTCAGTCCTATTGAACATCTGTGAAATGAGCTGAAACATGCGTCTGGAGAAGGAACCCTTCAAACCTGAGACAACTCAAGCAGTTTGCTCGTGAGAAAAGGGTCAAAATACCACTTTACCAGTGCAGAAGTGTCACTGACAGTTGTCCAGGCCAGTTTCATTATTTATTTATTTATTTTAAATTCTGTTTAACCACAGGTGAAAAACAATGTTTGATTTTCATTGGGCAATTTTCAGTAAATTATTATTATTTTTTTTTTTTAACTTTATTTATTTCAGACAGGGACAGCACACAATTCTTGCATTTTACCTTAACAGGAGAGATGCACTGTACATCAGGTTGTAGCGTCAGTGCTAATTTCCACCTGTAGTGGTTCACTGATTGATTGTATTTAACTGACCTTGACGATCAACTGTTCATGGAGACCTGTAGCATGTTTTGGGTTGATGGGGGAAACTGGAATGCCCGGAGGAAACCCATCCAGACACGGGGAGAAACATGCAAACTCCACACAGAAAGGCCCGGGTGACCCGGGGATCAAACCCAGAACCTTCTTGCTGTGAGGCATCAGTGCTAGCCACTCAGCCACCGTGCCGCCATTATTGCTTTTATCAGTTTCAAGTTATTTCAGTGATGATTGTCGATTTTTCTTTCATTGCCAGAGGGGTACCAACAATTTTGCCCATGACTGTACATCCTAGCCCCCTAGCGTTTTGGCAGTGAAAAGCTTGGCAGTGCATAGACCTCAATGTAGATCCATAAATCAAAAACGACGGCGACAAGGTGACGGCGGCAGTGTGCATTGAGTCAAAGCAGAACTATACTTTGCCCTTTATCAGAAAAGTTCCACAGTGTAGCATTAATTTCATGATACTTACAGAGTCACAGATGGCCTGCACCTCTGGGTTTGCAGGTTGGGAAGCTCCGATGCCTCCAGACAATATCACTGGTTTATCCTCAGGTGACATAATTTCTGGTGATTGGAATCCGTAATCACATATGAATGGCTGTTGGTTTCTAAATCTCACACCTCCACTTTCCTGCTCCAAGTCAGAGATCTGGTCATCTGTGGACTCGTGAACACTTTGGAGGACTGGTCCACTGTTGGTGTGAGGCAGCCCCACAAACACAACCAGCTCCAGATGTTTGTTCTGCCCAACGTGGACCTAAAGAAGCAGAAGATTCAAAGAGGATCAGAGAGTGTCACCGTTATTCAGCCCCAAAGATGTGACTCTTGTCATTTGAGAGGACTTTAACTCAGGAGATTAACATGACAAGTTTGTGGAGCCACGTCCAAACAAATAATGACAAGGTTCAACATTTGTGGATCATAATTTGGAATATTTATTCTAATGTCAGTGAATCTCCCATAGAGTCATATAGAGCTGTTAAGAGATGATGTCACTTCCGAGTCCAACAAGAAACTTCACAGCTGATTTCTATCTTTGGTTTTGTTCCTTATTCATGGAGCAAGAGACAATGACCTTTGAACTGTATCAAATATGTAAATGATGTAGTAATAATCTGTCGTAACATGGGATGACCAGTGTGTATATCTCACTAACTGTCAGTCACTGCTTATGCTGGTTAAACCTACTCTAGCTTCGTAGCTCAACCTCCCTCATAAACTTTAAGTCACAGTTATAATCCATGGAACTACAACAGGAACTGGATAAGACATTCCTCTCCATCCCAGAGTGACAGACTAGTGGCCACTCCAGGTACTGCAGCTCCCAGGAGATTGGGCTCAGAAAGAATTCTTCCAAAGAACACAATGCATTTTTTTGGAATTCAAACTGCCCATGTTCAGCTGACAGGACATCCACAGCTTTCACTAAAGTCAGGTTTTATAGGGATTCTTCTCTATTTTCACAACATGAATGTTTTCACATTTTTAAATGGTCAAAGTGCCTAAAAGTTTGCTTTGTAAGATTTAGTCTAGCCCCTCTCTGATTGGTCAGAACTGGTCACACGGTGCATGTTTCTGACATCACACAGGTGGGAGGAGCTAGTCTGTGCTGAGGAAATAATGCAGAAGAAAAAAAATATTTGGGGGGATTTTACACCAATGAGCACAGATCACTGAAAACAGCTCAACACTTCAACTCATCTTCCAATTCTTATTAAACTTTCATGTTATAACCGTAGATCTGTGCTTATAAACTTGTTGGCTTCAAACAACTGAAATATGTTTTTAACGTGACACGTGCTGTCGCTTAAAAAAGAGAGGAAATTGTAAACATCATTGTTTTCAATCAACTGATGAACCAGGAAGTGACATGACACTGAACAACTCTATAGGAGCTTAAAGTCTAATCATGACTTTGTTTGCTGGGGTAGTACCTGTGGTAATTACACATGAGGGTGATAGTTCTAATCTTTAGGATTCTTATTGTCAAAACATCATCAGAATATTGTCTTTGGGTTAATAAAAAATAAAATAATTGTAGGAACTGACCTTGACAAAGTAGTTATATCCAGCTACAGTTTGTGTCCTGTAGGATATGGCTTCAAAAGTCTCATATTTCTCTCCTCTCTTCTCCTCCACATCTCTCTTCACCTGAACAACAGCACAAGATTCACTCATAACACAGAGGGTCATTTTTATGACATTTGCTTGTCTCCATGGATGGTCTGCATCGGATTATAAAGTGCTTCACTGTCAGAGAATCAGGAAGTGTGCTGTTATATTGCTAGTGCTTGAGGCATTACTGTGGCGGCAAAATTCTCCTTTGGTGTCTAAAAGTTGTGAAAATCACTTATAAATTCATCGTGGTGAATAATGAGGCTCAGAATGCTTAAGGTAAGCGCCTTTAATGAAATACTGGGAACTTTCCAGTCAAGCAATGTAGACAGAAGATGTGGGGAGCGTGCCTTCAGCAGAAAAGTTCCAGGGTGGCTTTAAGTGTGTGATACTTACAGAGTCACAGATGGCCTGCACTCCTGGATCTGCAGGTTGGGACTCTCCGATGCCTCCGACGATGAGCTCCTGTGGAGGAAAAGACTCCATGTCCCTGATTTCCTGCTGCAAGTCGGAGATCTGGTCATCTGTGAAATCCTTAACCCCACGGAGGTCGGGCCGACTGTTGGGGTCAGGCTCTACATACAAAAACAGCTCCAGATGTTTGTCCTCTCCAACATGGACCTAAAGAAGCAGAAGATTCAACGAGGAACAAAAAGTGGTGACATTATTCACAATTGTTGAAATGAATTTAAGACATAATTTTGTGGAGTCAATTCCGAACAAATAATGAAAAGGTTGACTATTGGTAGATCATAGTCGATATTCTCCCATAGAGTCATATAGAGCTGTTAAGTGTGATGTCACTTCCGGGTCAATTCATTGAAGACAATTGTTTACAATTTCTCCACTTCTTTTTTTAGAGACAACAAATGTTAAAATGAGATATCAGTTGGTTAAACCTAAAGATGCTATAAACATGGATCTATGGTTATAACTGTGAGAGAAAGAGTACGAGGGAGGCTGAGGTAAAAATCTAGACTAAGATAGAGTTGGTGACTGTCAGTTAGATATGGCCTACACACTGGTAATTCTATTTATGATTGATTATTACTACATCATTTATATATCTGATAAAATTTGTAGTTGAACATGTGTTTTTGAAAGGTAATTGTATCTTGTGTGATGAATAAGGAACAATAATAAAGCTAGAAAGTTTCTGGTTGGACTCAGAAGTGACATCAAATTCTAGAATATGAACGCCCCTTATTGATACTTCACAGCAACATCACACTGGGGGTGTTCTACATGTATCTCTAATGGGGGAGTGTTTAGGAGTCACCATGGTGACACAATGCACACATTAACAAACACAGCCAAAAAACATTTTAAAATCATCTGAAAACTCCTGTGATCAATACGAGCGTTCATGGTCCTGTTTAGGAGTTTCATTCTTTATTTTTTGCCATTTTGTAATTTCATATTCCTAATATAGAACTCGGCTCCAGATTCGCTCCTATGACTGCGAGCCTCAGTGAGCTTCATTTGACTGTAGCCGAATGTTTTGGGTGACGTCACACTCTCTTAGTTCACTTCTTTCTACAGTCTATGAGTCTGACAAAGCCTCATACAGAGCAGAGCCTACAGTTAGCATCACACCCTCAGGGAATGTTGACGACATCAGCTGCAGAGTATCAATAGAAGCTCAAAGTGCATGTGACAGGTTTTCATGTTTTTCTAATCATGACTTTGTTTGCTGCTTAATTCAAAAATAAATCAATTGTAGAAACTGACCTTGACAAAGTAGTTGTATCCATATACAGTTTGTTTCTTGTAGGATATGGCTTTGAAAGTCTCATATTTCTCTCCTCTCTGCGCCTCCACTTCACTCTTCACCTGAACAACAGCACAAGATTCACTCCCACTCAAACACTTAAAGGTGCTTCATGGAACTTTTCTAGTTTTTTAACTTAAGTTAATGCTTTTGCTGTGCCTGATTTTCATTTGAAACAGTTTGCAGTGATCCAAAGTTATTCCTCACTTACCTTCTGCATTCAGAGCACCCTAATTATTCACCATGATGAGTTTATACGAGGTTGCCTCTCCACAGATCTGACCTGATGTGTCAACAGAAAAGTTCCACACTGTAGCATTAAGTTCATGATACTTACAGAGTCACACAGGGCCTGCACCTCTGGGTCTGCAGGTTGGGACTTTCCGATGCCTCCAGTCATGAGCTCAGGCTCAGGATATTCAGGCATCATCCTTTCGAACTGTCTTGGGGGAAAGTAACATATGAACGGCTCTATAAATCCGCCTTCCTGCTCCAAGTCGTCTTTGGACTCATGAACACTTTGGAGGACTGGTCCACTGTTGGTGTGAGGCAGCCCCACAAACACAACCAGCTCCAGATGTTTGTTCTGCCCAATGTGGACCTAAAGAAGCAGAAGATTCAAGGAGGATCAGAGAGTGGCAGTTCAGCTCATCTTCCAATTCTTATTAAATTTTCATGTTATAACCATAGGTCTGGCTTATATAACTTGTTGGCTTCAAACAACTGATATCTGTTTTTAACGTGACACGTGCTGTCGCTTAAAAAAGAGAGGAAATTGTAAACATCATTGTTTTCAACCAACTGATGAACCAGGAAGTGACATGACACTGAACAACTCTATAGGAGCTTAAAGTCTAATCATGACTTTGTTTGCTGGGGTAGTACCTGTGGTAACTACACATGAGGGTGATAGTTCTAATCTTTAGGATTCTTATTGTCAAAACATCATCAGAATATTGTCTTTGGGTTAATAAAAAATAAAACAATTGTAGGAACTGACCTTGACAGTGTAGTTGGTTCCAGCTACAGTTTGTGTCCTGTAGGATATGGCTTCAAAAGTCTCATATTTCTCTCCTCTCCGCTCCTCCACATCTCTCTTCACCTGAACAACAGCACAAGATTCACTCATAACACAGAAGGTTGTTTTTTTTACGCCACTTACTCCATGGATAAGTTAGTCTGTCGGAAATATTCCACAGTATTGCATTAAACATCTATTTTGTATTTATTAAAAGTCCCATAGTACATTATTTTCTGATTTATGTTATAATGATGTTTCCTCATCACAAACATCAAAATCAAAATCAATATCCTTGTCTGCATCAGATTATAAAGTTCTTTATTGTCAGAGAATTCAGAAGGGTGCTGTTATATTGCTCCTTGCTCTTTGGTGTCTAAAAGTTGTGAAAATCACTTATAAATTCATCGTGGTGAATAATGAGGATGCTCAGAATGCTTAAGGTAAGTGAGGAGTAACTTTGGATCACTTTAAAATGAACTAGTTCTGTTTTGGGTTCAGGTGTTCAGGTGTTCAGGTACAGCACCCTTAATGCCATACTGGGGAACTTTCCAGTCAAACAATGTAAGCAGAAGGTGTGAGGGGCGTGCTCTCAATAGATAAGTTCCACAGTGTGGCTTTCAGTGTGTGATACTTACAGAGTTACAGATGGCCTGCACCTCTGGGTTTGCAGGTTGGGACTCTCCGATGCCTCCGACGATGAACTCCTGTGGACGAACAGGCGAGGGAGTCTGAACCCCGCGGAGGACGGGCCTACTGTTGGGGGAAGGCTCTACATCTAACCATAGCTCCAGATATTTGTTGCCACCAACATGGACCTAAAGAAGCAGAAGATTCAAGGAAGAACAAAAAGTGGTGACATTATTCACAATTGTTGAAAGAAATTGAAGACATCAAATCAATATGACAACTTTGTGGAGCCAGTCCCAAACAAATAATGAAAAGGTCGACTATTTGTAGATCATAGTCGATGTTCTCCCATCGAGTCATATAGAGCTGTTAAGTGTGATGTCACTTCCGGGTCCATCAGCTGATTGACAATTAATTACAGTTTCCCCTTTTTTTAACAACAGCACATCTCATGCTAAAACCAGATATCAGTTGTTTAAAGTTAAAGAGGCTATAAGCATGGATCTATGTTTATAACTGTGACAGAAAGAGTACGAGGGAGGCTGAGGTAAGAAGCTAGACTAAACTAGTGTTAGTGGTGACTGTCACTTAGTGAGATATACACACTGGTAATCCTATTATGATAGATTATTACTGCATCATTTACATATTTGAGAGAATTTGTGATTGAACATGCGTTTTTGAAAGGTAACTGTCTCTGGTTTGAGGAATAAAGAACAAAACTAAAGCTAGAAATCTGCTGTGAAGTTTCTGTTTGGACCTGGACACTTAACAACTCTATAGCCCCATGGCCTCAGTCTGAAATAATGACATCATCACATCTAAAATATGAATGACACCTATTGATACCTTACGGTGACATCACACTGGGGGTGTTCTACATGTATCTCTAGTGGGGGAATGTTTAGCAGTTACCATGGTGACACAATGCACACATTAGCAAACACTGTCAAATGCCAAATGTTTTAATATCATCTGAAAACTCCTGTGATCAATACAAGCGTTCATGGTCCTGTTTAGAAATTAGTTTGTTTTGTTTTTTTACGCCATTTTCCATCCATCCATTTTTTTCTGCTTATCTGGAGCCGAGTTGCAGGAGCAACAGTTTAAGCAGAGACTCCCAGACTTCCTTCACCTCAGACACTTTGTCAAGCTCCTCCCGGGGGACCCCGAGGTGTTCCCAGGCCAGTCCAGAGACATAGTCCCTCAAGCATGTCCTGGGTCTTCCCTGGAGCCTCCTCCCGGTGGGACATGCCCAGAACACATCCCCAAGGAGGCTTCCAGGAGGCATCCGAAACAGATGCTCGAGCCACCTCAGCTGCTCCTCTCGATGTGGAGGAGCAGCAGCTCTATGCCAAGCTCCACCCGTGTGACTGAGCTCCTCACCCTATCTCTAACGGACTGCCCAGCCATCCTGTGGAGGAAACTAATTTCGACTGCTTGTATCGGCGATCTCGTCCTTTTGGTCATTACCCAGAGCTCATGACCAGAGGTGAGGGGAGGAATGTAGACTGACGTTAAATCGAGAGCTTTGCCTTTTGGCTCAGCTCCCTCTTCACCACAACAGTCAGATACAGCGATTGCATCACTGCACCGATTCACCTGTCAATCTCATGCTCCATCTTCCCCTCACCCGTGAACAAGACCCCGAGATACATGAACTCCTCCACTTGAGGCAGGGACCCTCCACCCACCCGGAGAGAGCAAGACACCTTTTTGCGGTCGAGAACCATGGACACGAATTTGAAGGAGCTGATCTTCATCTCAGCCGCTTTGGCTGCAAACTGCCCCAGTGCTGTAGGTCCTGGTTTGATGAAGCCATCAGGACAACATCATCTGTAAACAGCAGAGATGAGATCCTGTGGTCCCCAAACTGGACCCCCTCTGGCCCTTGGCTGTGCCTAGAAATTCTGTCCATAAATACAAGGAACACAACTGGTGTCAAAGAGCAGCCCTGGCAGAGTCCAGCATGCACCGGGAACAGGTCTGGTTTACTGCCGGCTATAAACACAGCTCCTGCTCCGGTCATACAGGGACCGGACAGCCTTAGCAAAGGGCCCAGAACCCCATCACTCGTTCTGGCTGTGCCCTGTGGGGGAAGATCCGGCCACCAGACACCCACCCCAGACTGGCACTAGGGTGGGGTCCCAGTGAGGCCACTCCTGGCCTTGTTCTTCTACTTGTCATAAGGAGCTTCTGAACTGCTCCTAGTCTGACCCATCCCCTGGGACCTGTTTGCTTTGGGTGACCCTACTAGGGGCATGAAGCCCCCCACAACATAGCTCCTGGGTTCATTCGGGCACTCAAACCCCTTCACCACGTTAAGGTGGCGGTTCAAGGAGGGGCCATTTTATATTTTCATATTCCTAATAAGGAATTTGGCTCCAGATTTTCCCCTATAACTACTAGCATCGGTGATCTTCATTTGAGTAGAGCCGCTTTGTGTGACGTCACACTCTCTTAGTTCACTTCTTTCCTACAGTCTATGAGTCTAACAAAGCCTCATACAGAGCAGAGCCTCCAGTTAGCATCACACCCTCAGGGAATGCGGACAACATCAGTGCATATGACAGGTTTTCATGTTTTTCTAATCATGATTTTGTTTGCTGGTTAATTCAAAAATAAAACAATTGTAGGAACTGACCGTGACATAGTAGGTGAATCCATGTACACCTTGTTTCTTGTAGAAAATGACTTTGAAAATCTCATACTTCTCTCTTCTCTTCGCCTCCACTTCACTCTTCACCTGAACAACAGCACAAGATTCACTCCCACTCAAACACTTAAAGGTGCTTCATGGAACATTTCTACTTTTTTTTCTTAAGTTAATGCTTTTTGCTGTTTACACAGTTTGCAGTGATCCAAAGTTATACCTCACTTACCTTCTGCATTCAGAGCACCCTAATTATTCACCATGATGAGTTTATACGAGGTTGCCTCTCCACAGATCTGACCTGATGTGTCACTAGAAAAGTTCCAGTGTAGATTTATGTTCATGATACTTACAGAGTCACACAGGGCCTGCACTTCTGGATCTGCAGGTTGGGACTCTCCCATCGTCGGAAACAAGAATCTCGGACTCTCAGATCTGTAGCACATGACTGGCTCTAAAGGTATAAATCTCACACGTTCCTGTTCCAAATCAGAGATCTGGTCGTCTGTGGACTTGTGAACAGTGCGGAGGACTGGTCCACTGTTGGTGTGAGGCAGCCCCACAAACACAACCAGCTCCAGATGTTTGTTCTGCCCAACGTGGACCTAAAGAAGCAGAAGATTCAAGGAAGAATAACAGCTGAAAATGGGTAATATCATAGTTAGTTTCATTCTAAAGCAATTCAGAAAATGTCCATTTCTGTCTTGTGAACATGTATTTTTAAATAGTAAATAGTGTGAGATTTTTTATTTTTTCCCTATTCACAATTCTTTTTTGTAAAATCAGAATATCAAGAAAAACTAATCAAAACAGCTGCAATGAATGCACAGCATTTGATTTTTTGCACATTCTGCATTTTGCACATTTTTTGTTTTGTTTCCTTGACCTCAAGCTTGGTTTGATTAAGTAATATTGATAATATTGCAGATTTTTGTCTTTGTCATCATCCCCTAACTTTATTTTTCAAGGTGGTAAGGTTTACCACATGCTTGTCTCCATGGACATGCTATTGCTTTAACTGTGAATGTTCCACAGTATGACATTACACTTATGTTTCTCCATGGAGGCGAGCGGGTCACGCCCAAGACCAAAGGTGTTTCTCAAAGCTTTGTGCCCAATTTTGTTTGTGGGTTCTTTCTAATCCAAGCACACGACTCATGAAACACACTTCAGAGTGAACCAACAGCAACAGCAAAAAACTATCTCCTTATGTGGACAGCAAAAAAAAAAAAATTATAAATGCAACTAAAAAAATATATAATTTGAATATAATGTGAAGTAAATAAACGTACACAGTATTATGTATTCTTAGTGAACTGCTAACCAAACAGAGGACATTTATTTGAGTCACAGGTTTATTGTGACATTATTCCACAGACAGATTAAGCTTGAGCTTATTCTGCCTTTACCCTTTTTTCTTTGTCATAGCTTCATCTTGACAGCAGCTCATCTTCATAAATACAGCAAGAGGAAACTAACAAATCAGTAAGAGTACAGCAAAGTACTACAACACAAACTAACTATCATAATTAATCTATCTGCCCAGAGTTAAACATTTAAACTTCTTTATAAAATGGAACAGAGTGATGCACAGTTTTAGGTCTTCTGTTCAATTGTTCCAGAGCTCCACCGCTTAAACAAATAGACAAAATTTCATGTTTGTTCAGATTTTCTTTTTGATAAACATGGCTGTACCTCTGAGCTCATATTGGCTATTTTGGATTTTGAACATGTTCTGTAATGATTTTGACAAGACATTGTTGTTTACTTTGAACATGATTTTCAAAGTGTAAAGGTCAACTAAATCATACAATTTCAGAGTTTGAAGGTTTATAAATAATGCATTGGTTGTTTCATTATAAGTTGATAATGTGATGCTCTTATTGCCTTTTTTTGCAAGGTAAAGATTGGGTTTGTATTAGTCTTATAAGTATTGCCCCGAATCTCAATACAGTAGGTTATGTAGGGCAGTGTTTTTTGTGTGATTTTTTTGGGTGGTCGCTTTGTCACAATCTCCAATATACAGGACTACATTTAATGTCCAAATAGGCGACTTATGGATCCTTTTATTGCTGCTTTAATGACTGTTTTTCATTGTTTCAAACTTGAGTGCTGTAATACTAATTGTTCAGAGACACAATCACTCAGTCAACAATAAAATATCCTCATTTAGTGTTACATAATTTTCAAATCCACCTTTATTTTGCGATTTACGAACTGACTTGGGTCGCGAAGGTTTGTGACTTTTAAAATATGGGTCCCCAGAAAAAAAAGTTTGTGAAACACTGATAAAGGGCATTACCAGCAACTAAATATGTAATAAAAATACTGTTTTTATTTAGGATATATCTATATTTATATATAATTGTGATTACTTTGGATAATTTAATTCCAGTTTAAATTATGGTCTATAAGTTACTCCTAAAAACTTGTTTTCAAAGACTCTTTCTAATGCTGTATTGTTGAGCATAGTTTGTACATGATCATTAGAACACAATTTAGATGACCTGGATGCCCTGCCACACCCAGAAAAAACCAAGGCAAGGCTTTGAGAAACAAGTTACACGCCAGATCTGTAGAGAGGTGATCGCACTCAAGATAAGAATGCATGTTTTTCAAGGCTTTTTAAAAACAGTAATAATAAAAAATAATAAATAAATAAAACAAACAAGCAGCGTAGCTTTAAATGCATGATACTTACACAGTCACAGATGGCCTGCACCTCTCGGTCTGCAAGTTGAGACTCTCTGATGCCTCTGCACACGAACTGAATCCTGCGCAGTATCAGGACTGCAGCTGCGTTTCGTCTGAGCGGTGTTTTAAGGTGAGACTTCCCTGAGGCGAAGGTGACGATCAGCTGGGGCGTATCAACAATGCACACCTTTAATGAGCAAGTCAGGTATCACATTTCAAGACATTATAAAATGCCAAACTGTCAAATGCACTTTAATGTCTTTTTGGTAAAGTGGTTCATTCAAAGGTGTGGTTTGGAATTGGAGGCCGTATAACTTTTCAAACTGTCAGACTTGTTTTGTTTTGAGCATAAGCCGTTTGTTTATTGATAATGAACTTGTTGTCACATGTCACCACTGCTTGCTATCTACATTCCACATCTTTCATCCACTGGTAAAATAAACTAATAAACCTGCAGATAGTAGTTTTAATAACATATTATACATTCAAGTTCTTCTGGGGGCAGCTGTCTAAGCAGGGACTCCCAGACTTCCCTCTCCCCAGGTTCAGGTTCAGTGTTTGTCTACACATTAGTTGGTTAGTAGGTTACTTGGCTAGTAGTGAAACGTTGGCTACAAAAGTTTATTAAGTCCAGTTGTTTTGATTCAGTTTCATGAAGACATGGATTCCTGTGTACTTTTTTTTCTAATGACAGGTGGTTTTCTAGACATAGGTTTTCTAGGAATGTTGGTTCATCCGCTTGCCTGCTATTGACCAATGTTCTCACTGCTGGATTTTCTAACAAATCTGTCATCTTGTGAAGTCCTGAGACACGACTGCTGTTGAGACTGCACTTTAGAATAGAATAGAATGGAAGCATACTTCTGTAACCAGTATATAATCACTATATAATCAATGCTTCCATAGCCTTAATTATAGCACAGTTACTAGAAACATGATAGATCTTGTTGTTGCTTCACTGCTCCGATGCCAAAGGGTGTGTATGGTGGGCACTTCCTCAAAGTACAATTACTTTGTGCAGATACATGACAGACTCTTACTAACAGTGACAAGAAGGTTATTTCTGAAAAACAATTCCTCTGCCCTCCAAACATTTTTAAAGGAAACATCTTGTTTCCAGAGCTTTTAATGTTATAACTGTTGTATTAAAAGTTGTTTTTGCAGTGATTCATGCATGCTTGAGTGATCGTTAGTCTCCTGTATTTACAACATCAATACTGAGATATTTCCCCTTCCCACGCCTACTGCTCTAGTTTCTTCAATAGGCCTGAGGGCAAGAAGCTGGCCTATTAGTATCGTAAAATGCATTAAGGAATAGGAATGATGGCAAAAAAACATGCATGTAGAATCATGATATTTCAAACAGAAGTAGATCATGACAAGACAAGGAAAAATACTATTACATCAACGCCGTGCGCTCCACCAGGGAGCAGCAATACTGGCGTTCACCCGAACAAGCTCCGATTAAGTGCACATTATTTCAAGGGGTGGGGCATCAAAATCTATCCAAAATTTCCACACGTCTTATTGTCTCTGAGCAGTGAAGCGACAAAAATGCACAACATTTTAGAAATTTTTTATTTTTACAAATTGCTCCTGTTTGGACAAACGAACTCAGATTTCAGTGAAATTTGAAGTAGTTGTTAAACTCCCTGCCCAAAATTCCATTTTGCCACCCTGATCCAAAAAGTCAAAGACACCCATGCCATATTTTTTATGGCATTGCCATAGCGATGACATAATCATTAGATAACCATAACCATTAGATTTTACCATTAGAATAACATGGAGAGTCCATGTTATTCTAATGGTAAAATCTTTAGAATAACTTTGGTTGATTTCACTCAAATTTGAATCATAGTGCACACCCTGACACTGAACTGACTGATGTAAGAAAATACAAAAATGGGTGCATAAAATTGTATTTGTTGTAGATACACATAATTTGGTATGCACATTTGTGACATGGTCTTGATGGAAAAAGTCTGTGATATCCACACCCCATCTCAAACACCAAACTTTGACTTGGCCAAACTAAAGTTGATAACCAGATGCAGCATGGCAACAGGAAATAAAAAAAATTACATTGTGACCATGCCCCTTTACAGACCAGAAGTCTGCCATCTTGGATTTTTAAAAATTTTTTTTGATCAATGCATAAATAAATTGAGAAAATGTGCAGGGTTAGGTTAGGGTTAGGGTAAAAGCAAGGTTATGGGTTAGGGTCATGTAACCCACTTCACGTCTTGTACACGTCTCGACCTCTAGGTTCGTAGGAGCTGAGAGTATAGCAATGACTAATGGACCCAGATAACTGTAGTTAAATGTAAACTTTTAGTTTGAAATTATAAAAGAAGTGTGCAATACAATTACAATTACAACCTGTGGTCCCAGCATAAACTAAAAAATTAAATGTCCCTTTAAGGATATCCCTCAGTGTTCAAGTCAAATAGTCAGGGTCACGTCATGGGATGTGTCTGAAGTAGGCTCTCGTTGGTGTCGGTCAGTGGAACTGACGCAATCTTACCACAGGATGTGTTGTATGGGGTGGTAGAGGCTCACAATTCAACAGGGACGCTCGCCACCAACGGATCATCTCATCAACCTCGTTGGACGTCAAGGCTGGGAGCATCACTTTTCCATAAAGTAAAAAAATCTGTCCTGTATTTGCAAATGCAAAGTCATGCTTGTTTATGTTTTATAATCCAAATTTATTAGATTCACA